TTAAATCACACTGGAGAAACTAGATCTGTGTCCAGGTGAAAGTCTCCCTGCAGCAGTATTCTAGATGCTTGTGCATCCCACAGGAGTCATCCAGGAATATCAGGTGATTAAACCTCCAAGTTTAAAAACTCTCATGATCATTTTTCAAAACGAAAAACATCAGATATAGGAAACTTAGTTTCTTTGATGCTTAACTTCACAAGATCACGAGCCACTAGCCTTTTGTTAGCTTCGCACAGCTCATCAAAACAACATTATTCATCTTAAAGAAATAATCGGAAGTTATTACGTACATTCTTAGGGTCTGTGTAGGAGATACAAATTTATCAGGCTCCCATGTGTAATTTCAAACTGCCAAAAACCTGAACAAATATTTTCATCAACACCCACATGTAACAACAGTGACTGAATCACTGAAAAATGTAGCTGATCCGTTTCCAGCACTAGGCAATCACCAGACAGATAAACAAAGACATTACAGCTTTTTTTACGTCATTACTGCATTACTATAGAGATTTCCAGGGTGTCTGCAGTAGCATTATTCTCCCTGACATTACCCGTCATCGACCCGTCCGCCTCTGGGGTTTATACATTTTTAAAAATGATATCAGATCAGAGCAAAACCACAATGTCATGTACAACACCCTATCCAGGCACACCCACAAAGACAAACCAGCAACTTAAAAAAAATTAAAATTAATAGTACGCATTATTGCTAATAGTATTATGTGGTCTTTAGATCTATGCAGATTTAAATTGGAAATCCCAGCATGGGCAATCAAGACAACATTACATACACTGATCCACACCCAAAGAAGGCTTCACAGCCAAAATGTTTCTTTTCTATTCTTTTCAGCATGGCATAAGCCCTTACTTGTTCCTTTGCAGCCTATGCATGCCGACACAGCTACCTACTTGATTACATACATGGCTGTTAGACTGTCCAGGACTTTACTAGGCGGTCAGATATAGTATGCAAGGATGTGTGGAAGCAACTTGCGACCCACTTATTAACTTGGATTCTTCCAAAAAGCACAGCACTTCCCACCCGTCAGTAGGTATGTGTGAGGGGGGGCTCGTGAATGCCAGAGTCATGGCTTTGCCCACGGGACAGCTGCAAGCTAGTGGCAACATCAGCAAGAGGCAAGCCTGCCAAAAGACTAGGACTGGCACAAAGAATAGCAGGTGTCCGCTATTACCCTGTAGCAGCAGATAAGCTGTAACTGTAAAGTCTCAAAAAATGACCGGGATGGGATTGAAACTTTAGCCTTTAACCCAACTGAGGGCCAGATGCGAGGCAGAATAAGCACTATGAAGAGCACAGAATAAAAATAGCGTGGATGCACCGAGAGAACACAGGCTTAAATCTTTGTACCAGCCCTCAGATGCCCATTAAGCAATGAGCAGGATCAATATAAAACAAAAACATGGACAGGAGCCTTGTTAAGGAGATCAGAGGGATGGATGCTGGAGTTCACCTGAGCCCTGGATCAGACCAGGCTAAATCTTCGATTTAAGCACTCAACTCCTAATGACCGCCCTGCGGCTCTTTTACTGCTCCATGCTCGAGAGCAAGGCTTTTTTACATGCCAGCCGAATCGGTGAGCGCCACTGCTGGCTGGCATGTCAGACGGTGATGTCTGTGCAGGGGATATGGTCAATTTGCCAAAAATCGCACAGCTCTACCACTTGTTGACCTACTTTTCCATTTGTAGGAACCCTTTCTGGAAGAGCAGATTGCTCAGGGCTGTCCAGAACCTTTGATGCATGTGTTCCTGCATTGCACATTGCATTCATTTACACATCCCAGCAGAGGGTGTGATGGAGTGAATCAGCACCCATCCTCCTGCTGGACAGCACTACCTCACACCGTCTTGCCTCCCTCTCCACACACACACACAGCTTTTAAAACACAAAAGCTTAGCTCAACAAATTTCAAAAGCTTTCGGTTTTGCAATTCAAATCCAGCAACACACAACATGAATTTCAAAAAATGATTTTTTTAAACCCATCGCCCCCCCCACTCAATCAGAGCTTTGGAATTTTAGCAGACAGATGTGCAGCACAAAAACTTGGAAGCAGCTCTCCCAGACATCACAATCTCAGCCTGAGCCCGACGTGCTCTGTGAATGGGAAAAATCGGGAACATGCCAGGGAGGAATGACATTCCGAGAGAAACATAATTTGGAAAAAGCTGAGCATCAGTGTTATTTTACTTAAAGGCATGGTAATAGGAAAAAAGGCCAGCTGACAAACTGTCCAGAAGGGAAGTTACAGATACAATGAAAACTAAAGAAGCGATTAACCTCCAAGCAGCAGTAGCAGCATTCCACCCGGTGTCTTCACACAAAAGGATGGATGAGTGGTTTGCAATCTGCTAGATACTGCTAACCCATAGGCGTGAACTGTTTCCAAGACCTCTTGATGACCGAATTGAACAAGAAAAAATTACAGCCAAGGGCTTCAGCAATGATCCCTTTTTCACCCATGATTCTGGTATTCAGGACTCGGCGGGAGACCTAATCCTCCACGTCTCGGTACCTCCAAGCTACTAATCTGCTGGTCCTCTGACCAGGAAGCACACGTGAGCTGTAAAAATACCGCAGCTGGCCGTCAAGTCTTCACGACGGGATTTATTTTGAAACTGGCCATCTGACAAAGTTTATTTACAGGCTTTTCGACCAGTTTAAAGAGCAGATCTCCCAGGATAACAGCCTGTCAGTTTTCCATTCCAGGTGTCCGAGACAGAAGGGAAGACAGCTGCCTCTTCCAAATTACTCCCTACATCCAATTAAAGAATCACCAGCTTGCTTTCTGGAACAGACACCCATCTTGCACAACTTGGGCCAAAACAAAGACATGCTTAAGAAGCAACACAAAAATAAACAGCCGACAAATTTCTCTTGGTTTCCATGTCCTTCAAGAAATGTCAAATCAAGATTATCCAGTTGGCAGACATTTGTATCTCAGGCTTGTTGCTCATCACCTGAAAGCTTCTGAAAGCATTAAGCAAATGCACTTTAAAAAAAAGCATTATCAGCTCTTTATTCCTTACTGATGACTACAAAATAAAAACGTGGTGTTGTCCACTCACAGAATCTTTACAGTTCTGTACCTGGGATCCTAACTGAACTGATGGAAAGACGATTGTTTAACTTACTTACGAGGAAGCAGGCAATTTGTCGCAGTGGATAAATAAGAGCCCTGCTTTAAGCAATCTGTTTGCCTTCCTGTTGTCGGAGAAGGTAAAAAGAACTGTGCATTTAAGAGTAACAGCTCTCACTGGTATATAGTGTGCAAGCTTTGAGAATGTGCACTTCTCAGAACTGCTTAAAGACAGAAACCCGCTCACTATCCCTGCTGGAAAATCAGACCACTCCAGCATGCCTTAAAAACATTGTTCAGGTAAAAGCCTGGACACGCCAAGAGAGCCGTCTCACTTCAAAGAAAAATGTCAGTGCATTTACTGGGCTCTACCATAAATGTGAAAAGCCTATCATCAGCACCAGGTGTTCTGCTGAGGTACAAGTGTCATCAGGAGAAGACAACACTTTGGTCCGAGAATATGATTGATAGAGCAGGGGTGTGAGGCCCTTTAGCAAACCTGTAGGCTTGCTGCACAGCCTGCTCACGGGCACAGGCAGCACAACTTAGTGTACAGCTCCATGTTGCTTAGGACTACCACTACCACGTTGGGGGCTCAAAAGTAGCATAAAGATTACTTTTTTGAAAATTTTGATGGACAATTTAAAAAAAAAAAACAACACATCACACATTGCTGGGAGAGAGATTACGCAAAGTACTTGCCTCCAAAGGCAAAACTATAATGGTGCCCACATTCAAAAATTCAAATTCCTTGAAGGCAGACTGACATGTTGGAAGACCAACTGCAGAACACAAGGGCAAGCAGCAAGGAAGAAGTACATGTCAATATGACCCCAAGGCACAAAGAGGTGTGAGAGTCTGCAACAAGATCCTTAACTCAAGAAATGCAGAAAAACTTTTTTTTTCCAGTAAAAAATGAAAAGGGGGGTGCAATGATTCTCTTAATATGCTCCTAGGAAACAAAACACTGGGACTCTAAAGGGAGAATCACAAGACAAAAAACACCGTTTGCCTCTGACTCCATGCTCCATTAATTCTGACCTGTATAAGTGGATCGTATCATTTTAAAAGCATCATTTACCTCAACTGCAGTGCTTCTAAGATATTACATGTCAAGACCTTTCAGTTTTTCAGCATTAACATGAAAAAGAGTTCACCGATTGAGAATTATGATGCAAAAGACTTTTAAGAACATCATTAATTTGCCCATTACAATAATTGCTATGATGCAGCTTATGACATCCATAAATCTATGCAAAATGTATTTAAACTGACAAACTGAATGAATTTTAGCTGCTATGCGAATGCAAAACTATATTTAGCAGGGGTTGTGCACCAAGTAATCCATCATTCAGATAAAACGGAGAACAATGTCACAGCAGGTAGACAATTAGACATAATGCAATGCCATTAGAGCACTCTTCTGCGCACTGCACTGTAGGACTTCCTGTAAAAAAACAAAGCACTTGTATTCTGAGAAAGCTTTTCATGTAGCCCCAGAAAGATGCGTTGATTGTTTTAAAGCTAAACATTTAATCTGGGACTGGGATTCCACAGCTCAAGGCTGTTGGGTCACATGGCCGAAACGCATGAACTGCGCTCTGTTATAAAAGGAGAGCTCGAACCCTAGGAAGGAACAGTGCCTTGGCACTCTCACTGCACTGCCACTAGAATGAGAGATACTTCATGTTGGATGAAGCAGGCTCCCCTCCTGTAACTACAAAGCCTTCTAGATGAATTAACCTGAAGGTTGGAGTTTTCTCCTCCAGTCTGAAGCTCAGTCTGTCTCCTTCTGGAAACATGCAAGCAACTCATTTCATTCACAGCCACATCCACATCCAACAGCCTACGGCACGCTAAGGTCTCACTGCCCTGCCACCCCCAGCACCACTCACCTCCATCTGTTGACTCCGAGGTTGGAGGAGCCGGCAAACCAGGGATCCAGGAAGTAGACGCAGCGCACTGTGGAGGCTCCCCGGATGGCCTCCTTCAGGGCTGGGTTGTCATGGAGACGCAGGCCCTTCCGGAACCAGTGGATGGAATTCGGACCCATCCTCAACTAGAGGGAGGGAAAAAGAAAAGAGGCAGATGCTCAATTTTTTCACCTTTATTTTGAAGAAATAAAGTCAAGGCTGACAGTCCTGGTCCTGCAGGGCTTATTCCAGGCTTTGTAACCCCCCCAAGTCCAGAAAAGGCTCATAAATACACAGTTCCATACAGAAGGCATCTTAGGCCAGAACGGATCCAAGGAAAACCCAGATGTTACTATACGGCTGTCCAGGGCTGGGCTTTATTCATTAAGACACAGTAGTTAGATATAAGTAAACATTTTACTCAGCGGTCTGAACACCTTCAGCATCTTGTTCCCAAATAGATTATCAACATGAAGATTAGATGCTTTGAAAAGTTAAATTTTAGAATAAAATTTGGGAACCACGTCTTGAAAAGACTGGTATTGAAAGCAATGCTCTAATCACTTTTTAAATGTGAAAGATGACAAAGATGACACAGAAGGCTGTGCAGTTAGAGCTGCCTGTGAAATGCTCTTCTACGTCAAATGATACTGTAGTGCTAATAAAAAAGCAAAGCAAAAGCCTTGATTGTCAACAAGTTACTTAATGAGGGTCTCTGTGCCATTTTCATGTAAAATGAGTCACATGAGGACTATCTCCAATAACTCACACTTCTCCAAACTTGTCAGATCACACTGCGAAGCAGAGAAGTGCTGAATCATGAGCAGCAAGATGCCGAGATCTGTTTGTCTGCTGCATGTTGAAATGAAATGTGTCACGTTATGGCCTTTCTGTGTGTGGGGGGAAACCAGTCTGATGTGTGTATCGGTGAGGATAACTCACTTTGATACCCTTGCTCATGTACAATACTGCCTCCTCTGTTAAGTCTTTATTCGCTGTTATAATCCCTTTTAGAATGACATAAATACATCTTCAAGTAGAAGTATCATAATTCAAAGTATCCAGGAAATGAATTGACACTGAAGCAGGAGCTCTAAATTCAATTAATCTGAATCTGAACAGAAACATGTCTGCTGATTTGTGCGTTTAAAGGGGATATATAAATACACCATTACATGCAGTGGTTCTCAAACTGTGGTACGCGTACCATCAGGATCACCCCCAGGGTGGTACGCCAGATGACTCTGGAAATTTGTTCTGTGCACTTAAAAAATTTGGGAATTAAAAATTTTAAAAATAAAATGTATACAACTTTTTCCATCTGTGATTTACTTAATTGGTTCCAGAAAGCTTGAGATGAGTTTTCATATTTTTTAAAATAAAATTAATTTATGTGTCAAATACGCAGCCTACGTACTTAACTACGCAGATACAGCATGCGCCAATACTCATACAGCATGCTCATACTCCTCTCAGGCTTTCAGAGACACAGCTTAGTGCCACATTCACTAACAGAACAAGTGATCAATAATGAATACCCCACAAAAATCAAGTATGACTGTATGTCGTGGCTGAAAGGAATAGAGGCCAAGAGTACTGATGCCAGCTCTGATAGATCACACACACCTGTTGAGAAAGAGGATTATACATCGGCCACTAGGGTTTTACCATATTTGTACATCAAAAAAAGAAGACGCCCTGAGGAACTTTCTTATTGCCTTGTCTGGGAAGGGGGTCGGGAATGAGAGGTTTTTCCAAATATCCCACGTCTTCTGTTCATTGGTAAAGTAATTGTGATGATATTTAACTCCGTGAAATGCATAACTCCCCTCTGCTGCAATAGCAGTATCTCCTCTGTTTTACTGCCAGATTTTACAAAATCATCTGTTAATTTGGTTGACAAACTCCGTCCTCGGAATTCGAGTAAAGGACACGGATATTGACGCCTGATTTCGCTCTCTCATGACAATCATACACGTACAGGGCGAAAACTGAGCGACAACGTAGGTCGCGAAGCGAACTAGAGATGTTAATAAATTCACTCGCACTCTTTCTAACCTCCTTAACTACTATATTTAAAAAACTTTTGTTTATTATTCTTCATGGTGAAAATAAAGTGGTCGAAATCCCGGACATTTTGGGATATTTGAAAATTCCCCCCCGGGCAAAGATATAAGGATCAAAATAGAGGACACATCCGGGAAGTATGGAAACTCGAGGACGACCACCGAAACTAGCTCTGCTGCTGAACCTGAAACAGACAGCACTGCTTGTGTTAGCAAGCGTCGGAAAACGGCTACAAGGCGGTACGATTCAACTTAAACAAGTTCTCAGGGCTATTTCTATTAGATGTGTGCGCGTTCATGTTGGTCATTGAGATTTTCTGTGGTTCCTATGATAAGATGACTTGTAGGTGGTACAGCATTTGACACTTGCCCACGAGGGGGCGCCACAGAACCGTACTGGTGTCAATAAAGCCCAATCTGCAACGCCGTACAGGGATTCAGCCCATTTTAACAGTACTGCAGGAATAAGCCTTTAGACATGAGAAGTCGTCGTTAGACTAAAAAGGTTTTGATTCACGCACACCGTTCGTAAAGCTAGGCAGAGTTAAACAAGCAGCTACTCAACAAGCAATCGGCATAAATCGTGGTTACATTTACTTGTCATGCTCGTTGGTCTGACACAATTGAGACGTGCCTAGAAGTTTCAAGAGTGAATGCAAAGAGCACATATTTAAGTACGCGTTTCAAGACGTCTGATGGAGGTAATATATAGCATTGAAATTATTTCTTGCTAATTTTAGCAATACGGACTAAGAACAGCATTGCTTACGACACCAGCACTTTTATATTTAGTACGTAGCAATTCCTCATTCCTCAGTACTGTACTAAGCGATACACCCATATTCGGAGGGCGAACTACCCACCCCCGTCCCAAGCGCTATGCCTGTGTTTAGCACGCCTCCAGCTTACCTCAACTAACAGGGTTTAAGTTTACACTCACAAAGGCTGAAAAAAAAACAATTTTTGACGAAAACGTGTATTTTCATCCCTCTAGGTAAGGCAGACACAATGAACGAAGAAACTACGGACTGAGCAAACAACACTATGCGTAAAAGGGGGCTGCGGTTTAATTGCGCTGGCTGCGAAAATGAACCTGTTAAGAAAAAAAAAAAGTTATAGCTCACAGGTGTTCAACAAGTGCACAGGCTAAGGCATTCTGTGGCGGCTCAAGAAGCAACAACTAAAGAAAGATTTCGGATGCTTTCATTTTAGAAACCCCTTATTAGCGCCCTTTTCTCTCGGATTGAACCGCAACTACGAAAGCCAGGTCAATCTCAGCATCTGCAGCCGGGCTAAAGAAAGGACGCAGGAGTAATCCATACCCTTGGGGTATTTCAATATACTCGATACGTTTTCTGTTTTGACCACCTGCTATATTTTAGGAGGGATAATCAACTTTGGAAATAGTGTGTGCTTCGAATATTTACAAAACGTTATTTTATCCTGTAGTGCCACGTTTAACATTTTTTTTCCCGAACTTCTTCACTCCTTGTCACTTTCAGTCGGAAGGAAAGAGCGCGTCACTTTTTGGCTCAAATAAATGAACCCTGGATACTACCGCTCCAGCTCCTCCATGCAGAGTTCAGCAAGTTACTGATTTAATCCTAAAATGTTTAACTCAGATGCACATTATTTCCATAAGTAAGGAGCGGCTGGTGCAAAGACCTGCGTAAGAATAAAGTGGACAGTAGAGGTTTCACGCCTGCACACCGTGTAAATATACATCTATAATATTTGTATTTATCTCAAGATCAATCTGAGTACGATTCACTCCGAACCCGCAATAAAAAGGCCCATCAGTTAAAGTATAATAACACTCTATTCATTCTTAAATATGTACAAATCTTTGGGGATATACTAAATGTGTCTGTCTACCAGCGGTCCCGGTAAACGGTCCGATCCAATACAAGTCAGGATCGGTGTTATTTCATGACTATTGTCTGCCCTTCCAAGGTTCCGAGCTCTCACCTATAATAATACACATCTTTCCTTAAAAAAGACACGGTTGCTGATCCTTCCGAGGGGATTCAATAGTAAACCAAAAAGATTTCTAACCCTAGTTTACTCAACGCGCGTGTCCGCTAAAATGGAGACCAAAATGAATTAAAATGAGAGGTGTTCGTGTTAATATTATGCATCATAGACAAAATATATTTACTAAAGTCTTAGTTACCGTACAAGTTATCACGTTTTCCTAAAACGGATGCCAAATGAAAACTGGGTCACGCCAATCTCACGAAGTAAAAAGATCATTTAGACAAACTTACTGAGCCTGGCCACAGAAAGACGCACTTAACGAGAAAAGTCCCTCTTGGACCCGACTGCTACCTAACCAGAAAATATCTCCGTATTTTTCATAAAAATAGAAACCAAACAGGGACACAACAAAAAGAGGTCACCAGAGCACAGTTATGTAACGCGAAAACTATAATGATTGTTTTTCTACCCCCAACTTCCCTGCTGTAATCAGGCACTCTGAAATGTTGTAAATCGTGCGGGTTTACCTCTTGGCCTCGGAATGTGATCCCCTGGGTGATGCCTAAGTCTTCCCCGGTAGACGCACCATTTCTTCTCCCCTATATTTTATTGCGGGTGATGGTGAATCAAGCTGCACCGGTATTATCCTGCAGCTTTCCTTCTTCGCAGATGGTTTCATAAGACTTGAGCGGAGTGCGCCTGCTCAGTCCTCCTATCAGCCGGCCGGGGCTCTACTGCGTGAAAGGCACCGTGCTCACAGACTGCGCTCTCTCATAGGCGCGTCTCTGCCCACATGGTGCGCACTGAGTCACGTTTATACGGCATGGACCCAGCGCACCCACCTCGACTCTCCGCCGCCTTAGGGACGCCTGGTAATGCTAACTCTACTGGCGGGACTCGTTTCAGATATGCTTTTAAGACCTAAAGGGGGCAAAAAACGCACAATTTAAAGGTCCTTGCAGACCCATTCAACATGGCGTGGCCCCACCCAGCCGCTGTATTGCGAATGGGATTGGGCCGCTGTTCAAAGTCCCGGATGAGCACGGGTGTTCACGTAGTATGTTTTTAAAGAGCAAGTAGAAGCAGCGCTCCGGTTCTTGGACTTGCGTAGGATTTCAGCACCTCAGCGATAGTTTAAGCTTTTGCTTGGAGCTTTCTAATCATCATCGGAAGAACTGGTGCTGATCGTTTTGAGAGCTTTTCCTTAGTCACAGAAACATAAAAAAATCACATGTCGTTATACCTTGCATGTTGGAACAAGTTAGTAAGCACTTCCAAACCCTGTCTCAACTCACCGTTAATTTATGGTTTTAAATTCAGTGTTATTCGGTGGTTTCATTGTATGGTGCAGTATTGTTTCATAAACCCTATAACATTTATTTTTAAAACGTTTATTCATAAATATATATATATATTTATTCATATATTAGTGTCGGTTCAAAATAACAAAGGTTGCTATAAATTGATCATTTTCTTCATACGAGACTGGATTATTCTGGGGTACCATGAGTTTAAGTAAGTGAAAATAGTCTATAATCTCAAACCTCTTTTTCATAGAAGAGAAACACGAGAAAACGAAGACCACCTTACGTTCAGAATATAGCACAACGCAACTTACTGTCGATAACTAGTAGTTACGAAGAACAAAAGGGGATATTATTATCCTACCAAATCAGACACAGAACTGTAAATAATTCAACCCGAGCTGAAAATATGCAGAAGTAAAAAATGACCTGAGGCCCGATTTTCGTGTCCGGTTTGCGGACACTGACACTTCAAAGTATATTATTATATATATATTATAAGCGCTTTTTGAGTGGAGTGTCAAGAAAAGCGCTATATAAGTGTAAGCAATTATTATTATTATTATTATTATTATTATTACTACTACTACTGTTTATTTATAGTTTTCACTCCATGTTCACGTAATAAGCAAATCATATTAATTGTATTTAAAATAAGAAAACACTAGCGCCCTGTTTTTATCACGCCGCTGCGCAGCACAATTCTGAATGAAACCGTGTGATTTTTTTTCCTCAACTTGTTGCGCACCAGCAGAACAGCAGGCTGCGTGACGTTTCCCTGTCCCACCCACAGCGCTGCTGCGCATCAACACGCAGTTAGAGTCGAGCGCCGGGTGCCCTCCTGCCCGCCCACGCCTCGTGATAAAACTCCTCTCCGAGCGTCAGGGAGCCTAATTTATCAGCTCGATATATTGCTTCTCTTTTTTTAGCAGCTAGCAGTTGGCGTTATACATACAAGAAGCCGAAAATAAAACTACAAAGTGCCAGTATTCACCGTTATTACTATACTAGAGGAAGCTATATTCATGCAACTGACCTAAATCCAGAGTTAAAATACTAGCAGGAGCTTTATGTACGTGGGAGTAATCACTCTCCCCTAACTTTGCTTAAGAATCCACTGTTCCAGCTTTCCGGAACAAAAAGCTATTTAAAGATTTGAAGTGACTTCGATGGCTTCGTCGGTTCAACTTCAGGGGGGGGGAATCGATGGATTTAACAGACTTCAATACTAATCCCGAACACGTGCATGATGTTTGGGAGAATAGAAACATGGTGCACGTACGCGGAGCTTAAAATTGCTCTTAATCACTGCTTCTATGTTTTAACATTTAACAGAACATTAACATTATTAAATTAATTCGTCAATTAAATTGTTAAAACGAAGTTGGCTGCCTGTGCTTTAGCCTTTAATAGTAGATAAAGGAAAAGGTAGTGGAAGTTCTCTATTAATGGAAAAAAAACGACTGGAAAAGTATTTACACATATGGAAAGACAATGATATTTACCCACACTTAGAATATGTGAATTTGATTTTAAAAACAAAGCAGAAAAACAGTTAACAGACAAGCAAAGCTGTAAACACCCTCCCCCAGGCACCAGTCAAAAATCAGGCCTTGAAAGTTAACCTTTATATTTATTGAGAAAAGTCACCTTTAACAAATTCTCCTTATACACCAAGGTGTGTTTGTGTGTGTGTGTGGAGGGGACATTCAAATTTTGTGGACAAGGACTCTACAAATCACAAGTGTGAATCAAGACTCTTGCCAAACTTATTCATCCAGTTCAACCTTTGTTAGAAATAAGATGTAACATGAGACTTAAAAACATATAGCACACACCACTATACTTTCACTAGTTTAACATACAAATATATGCACAGGTATAGTGGGCACATCCATAGCATTTAAATATGTCTGTCCAGGGTCACTGTTCTAGGAGGGATAGAAAAAAAAAAGTAAAATACATCTGTTGCCTTTTACAAGCTCTTACAAACATTATTGTGGATGTAACATGTTTTCAATAGTGCATTGCAATAAGACACCTGAAGTCTGAGGGCTAAACCCCAAATTGGCTTGTGTTCGAATATGACGTGGGAATGCCTGCTTCTGTTCTGACACAGGTTAAAAGGATCTTGCATGGCTAATAAACTCTGCTCAGAGCCAGGACCTGACCCTGTTTTATAAACAACGCTCTTTATCAATACTAACTGTTCCACCCATATACTGTAAATCTTGTACAAAGCAATCGTGATTAAAAAGGTTCAAATTCTTTTAAAAAAGTTCATTCAAGACTATAAAGGCGGAGGACCTAGTTTTGAAAGAGCAGTTTTACAAACATGAAATTATACTCCTGTGTTCCAAACCATGAAAGTTCACTGTCTTCCACTACATGTTATTTCGGTGCAGGCCCTAGAATTAAAATTCAGAAGCTCAGCCATCATTGTGGGCTGCAAGATATAGTTAAGAGTTTACAAGTTGCCCTGTCAGGAGCGATTTCCTTCCATGATTTTGGCATCTTATCGGTTGCAGCTCATCATAGCCGGCCTGCCCTCTGGACACAAGTACGTTGTTCCAGTTCTGTGTCCAGAAGGATGCCCACGCCAACCTACTCATTCACTAGCCCTTATGGAACGTTCTGACCAACACCCATTTAGTACAAGTTGACCAAGGCGGTGCAACGTGACAGTCAAGTGTCTCCAACTGATTTCATCCGCCGTTTCACTGTACCAGCTAAGATTGTTCCAAGGTAGCAGAAGCCTTCTGCATCACAGTCCGTGTCTCAGCCTCTTACGAAGCCAGGAATCTCATCCCCTTGGAAGTCCGCTGACTCACGCATGCCAGCTCTCCTACCCACGACTTACAAAAGTATGCCGTCAGCAGTCTGTGCCGAAAGGATGTGTCTTTATTTACATTTGAGTGATTTTTTTTTTACAAAGGCAGCAGTCCGGAAGCCCAGGGATCTGTCACCGTCTCTCAGGGATCAGCAGCAACCATTTTCGTAGGATCCCTTTGGCACATCCAGCTGGATGCGTCCTCCTTGTGCCTCCCTCCTCACGCCAGGCTGGGTCATCATCTTATTCACCAGGACACTGCAGCGACACACACAGGGATGCCATGAGATAAAGGAAAAAGGCTTGTCCAGTCATGTTACGGCCTTAGCTAAATCTAAATTCACCACTGTTTTACTTATTTGATTGTTTGCGTATTTTTCTTGAGCACTTCATAAAGTCAAAATGGCAGGGAATTCTATATTGATTAAAGTCTCAGCAAATGTTTTTATAACCTGTAACAGAAATGCAAATGACCAAATGATTATGGCATCAAGACACTTCAGACACTTTAAGACACTTAATCTACAGGTAGAGATGTTAAATGTTTCAACTAAAGGTATAAGGCTTTGTCCCAACATGTAATGTGATAACATCCATGTATCCTACAATCCCTCTGGGCTAGTTTTCCTTCACCTTTCCAAAACAACTTTGGCAGTTTGCCTTTAGTTTTGTGCAACTCGGCCTTGTTGGGACATTGAGAGATGATTCTCACCTCCTTTAAGTTTCTTCCAGTAGTGACACATTTTAATGGATCAAGTGGGATAAACATACAGGGCAACTAGCAAGTAATTTTCCCACCTCATATCTTTTCAACATCTTGTAAATTTCTCCCGTACACTTTTTATACAAGGACAGCTTCTACAGTACTTCCATGTGCACAGACTGCATATCACTATGTCAACACAGACCTGCATCACTTGTCATGTATTTTCCCAGGAACTGTTTTCCCCAAAGTTTTTTTTTATCCAAATCTCCAAGTGTATGCACTTCTCCTGCTGCAGGTATAAGGCAAACAGGGTTCCTCCTTGTCCAAGCAAACTTCACAGATTTAATACGGCTAGGCTGAGGGGCAGTGGACACGCAGAAATCTCTGTCTAATAAAAGAAAGTCTTCAAGTGCGGGGTGAGCAAACAGCAGATGGGCAGAAGTCTTGGATACTTTTCCTGAGAAGGTGTCATTTGGAACATACAGACTGTAGCTGAAAACATCAATCTGTGTTTGTGCCAGGTTCTATCAATCTACACATTATTAAATTAGTTAGAAGGAGAGGATTGATAGCCTGAAGCCCACTGGTACAGAGCCCACTCTGTTCTTCTCCCCAGTGATAACTGGTGTGTGGTGAGCGCACTGGCGCACTATGGCTGCTGTCACATCAACCAGGTAGGGCTGCACATTGGTGGTATTGGAGGGTAGTGCCCATTGCCAATGCAACATTCAAATACTCCTCAAACTTCCTTCTTCGCACTTATTTTTGGAATACTTTGAGCGGGCAACGGGCAGGGAGCCCGCCACACCAGAGGGCCCAGACCAAGTAATAACTGCAAGAGCAGCCCAGATGCCACAGACAGCGATTAACTCCTTCCAGAAAGATCGTGTCTGAGCTGGAGAGGAAGTGCAAGGGTTTCAGAGTTTCAGAATTTCTGCTTTTTCAATGCTTAGCTGGATTATGCTTTGACACACGAGGAAGAATGGAAATAACTTTTTAAAGCTTTCATATATTATATATATTCCCCCCCCCCCTATTATCTGTCTTTGGGAGAATGTGGCAAGCATGGGTCATTATTTGTACTGCTTTGTGATCTAAAGTACTGCAGCAAAATCATCTCCTCAGCACAAGACAGCACTCCCCTGTCAAAAGCAGAAGTATATCTAAACAGTAAAATTACAGAAGACTTTCAAGAACTGGAGCAGTTATGAAACTTAATTTAAACTTCAAAAACAAGAATCACTTTGGGGGAAAAAAAAAAGATCAGGTCCAGGTGTGGAAAAAGACATATATCCACCTTTACCTCTGCAGGAGGAACATCGCTGAGTTTGGGGAATATCTTATACATTGACATTCCCATCTATGTCTGTTCTTCAAGAACTGGCCGTTTATTAAGAACCGTTGAGACCGCGATAAGGGACAAACTCTTGTAGAAACAGCATAACGTTTTGTGTGTGGAACAGTGCACTTGAAGCAGGGTACTGCAAGGATATAGCAAGAGTTGAGTGCAGACATGGGTAATGGTAAGAAATGTCTTGTCTAAACAAGCAAGTGGGTCAACTGAAGGCATCTGTGAGCACCAGTGATTAGAAGCTCGGCAGCGTACACAGGGGGATTTTCAAGACCAGGGTTAGAGACCCCAGGATTGAGTGGACTGGGGCTCCCCAGGACCAGGGTTGAAGACCCAAGGATTGACTGGTTTGGGGGGCTCCCCAGGACTAGGGATGGAGACCCCTGGGCTAGGGGACAGTCTCGTACCTCATGGCTTCATTGATGTTCTTGTTATCTTTGGCCGAAGTCTCCACCCAGCCGATGAATCCATGCCCCTTGCTGAACTGCTCTATGCTGTCATGAGTCACTTCCCAGGACGACAGATCACACTGCCCCACGAAGACAGAAGAAAATAAAAAGAGGAAATGAACAGGACTCCGCACACTCATCATGGTTTGTGATCTTTCCTGTGTGTCACGCCAACCAACTTCCCCAGCTTTCTCTGTGGCGGAGACCAAGAGCTTTTGAGATTCAGCTTAGCATTGAGGTGAAGAAGCTTGGTGTTATCTTCAGCCCTAATCTTTTGAATATTACATTTTAAATGTGCCTAATCTGCCCTTTTCCTCACTTGTGTAACATCGATCACATCTTTCTCTTTTCACAAGCTGAATAGCATACCATAGTGCTTCATATGGAATGATAACAACGCTAGCATTTTTTTAAGAAGTCCTTAACAGGCAGAAATATGTTAACAAGTCAGCTGCCTATACAAATCCTTCTGAAAATCACAAGCTAATTTTAGCACATTTGAATTATTCCAGAGTCTTGAACTGTCCACTCTCATCATAATCTCCTGCGCTGTGACATGCCCCGAGATGGCGGCCTTCTCTCTACACCTGTAAGTAGGTGGAATTTCAGTGAGCAGGCCATAGAAATCTCTCTCCAAAGGAGACAAGACACAGTGGTAGTGCTGGCACTTTTAAATCCAAATGGAAAATACACTTCTATACCTTGGCCTTCATGCTACGACCCGTTGTCTTCCCATTTGGCAAGATATTGTTTTTGGTCTTTTTATTGTGCGCTAATTTCCATTCCCATTAGGCAGTTTGGGATCATTTTAACACAACACAAAATGTTATTGCTGTTGTTAATCTCTAACAAATGCCATGTACTTTGTTCAACTCCCGTCCAAATGCCCTTTGCACCCTAGAACAGAGCCAGTTTATAATGGTGATCTGTGCCCTTACTTTGTTGGCCAGCAGAATGCAGGGCACTGGGCTTCCATCCGTGAGCATGACCTTGCTGTCCACGTCCCGTTTCCAGTTTAGACAGTTATGAAAAGTGGTCGGGTTTGTAACGTCAAACATGATGATGCAGCCAGCAGCTTCTCTGTAGTATATTCGGGTCATTGAGGTGAACCTCTCCTGACCTGCCAGGGACAACACACACCAGAGAAGAGCTGAGGCATCACCATCAGAACACTCACAGCACCGCAGAACAACAAACAAAATGAAGATCTTTACTGATCCGCTCATTAGCCCTTATTGATGACTTGCATCCTTCATCAACATCAAAAGCTGTTTCTATCAGTACTTCTTCCTGATGCCCACAAAGGCAATGGTTATAAAGAGCTGCTCTCTCTAAAAAATCTACAGTGCCTGCAAGGAGTAATATTTCAAGCTATCAGTATTTATTTACAAACCCAACAAGCACCACTCATCAGATATGCTGTTATGGTGCTGTAAGCACTACAGCTCGATCTGCTCATCTACAAAAAAAAACATTCAAATACTTAATGAGGAGATACAAGCGAAGGTTTAAAGTAAAACTCTTCCTTTTATTTAAAAATCATTATAAAAACTGCAATAAAAGAATAAAATCCTCACTTATGAACTAATTGAACCTGGTATGGTAGATAAAGCTGGGAGTAAGAAAAGAGATATGAGACACGCAGTATCAGCTTGTCAGCTCTGGGCTCACAAAGGCAAATGTTATCATACCCTTCTGTCTTCATCCAGCATTTAGAAACCGAGAGTGGCAGTAATGCTTTGTATGTTGAGTAAAGGATGACACAGAAAAAAATACCAGGCAGAAAGCTCAAAAGTACTGCATTTCCTACCACCCACATAGCCCAGATTCTGATACTTAGGAATGTAGCAGGGCAGAAAAGTCCACTGATTACACACAGCGCCACCTGAGTGACACTGAATTCCTCTAGCAGAGCACTAGCATCACACAAAATGGCTGTTTCTTTACGACAGTAAATGCAAAGTGAACAAACACGTCCAACTGAAAGGCTATTCAATCACACTGTCCTGCTTGATCAATTCATGGCAGAAGGTCTCTCTAAAACCACTGTGCTGTATCTAAATTTCTAAAAGCCAAAAGGAAAGAGCTCTCCTTTATACTGCTGTGGAGGCAGGAGTCAGGGTCACCTCTCCTTACCTGTTACCACAGCCATGCTGAATGTCTATTAATCACCTGCCTACCTGCTGCTATTGTAATAAAGCCATCCACTTCTTATAACTTCACCAATCTCCATGTTAAATTGTAGCTTCCTCCTCTATTTACAACCAACCAGAATGGAGCCCAAATTACACATCATGAATTATGATGCATGTCTTTATCATAAGTCATTTCCATCACACCTGAGGAGTGCTCACCTGCTATGTCCCAGAGCTGTAGCCTGACTGTCTCAGTGTCGGACCACTGCAGAACTTTCACTGCAAAATCCACTGAAGGGAGAGAGACCGCCGAAAGGAAAGAGAGCAAAAAGTGAGAAGTGTGACTGAAGAGACTGAATTGATCATGTGCACACAAGTCTTAAGACATCTTAAGACACATTCTGGAGTTTCAATATGTCATGAACATCAGAGCCTCCCCTTGTTTTCTCTACTCTCATGTCAGCTTTGACTGTTATTAATACAGAATTTATCCACCTTCATATCACAGACCAGAATCTTCAAAAAACCATCTACAGTTAACAACACACTAACAGCCAGTATGGAGTGTTGTACATCTTATCAGGGTGATAAACTATCCACAGGAGACAAAAAGTACATTTGTATTCTGATTAAGTAGAAAAAAAATAAACGGATTTGATATTTTTTGACTATGTGTTATGTCACCTCCTGGTAATATACAGTAGATATCAATTTAGGAACGTTTTCGCAAGTTACACTTTACTGCTGAAAGATCTATGCAAATCATCCATTCTTGATGGGTCCCGGCATTACAGAGAAAGGCGCCAGCCCTACCTGTCGTTCTCAGCTTCAGTGCAATAAAACCTCGATTATTAAATACGTATGGGGTGTTCGTTAAGCTAAAACAAAATCTTATCCCTCCACCCTCACCTCAATAAAAATGATACCGTGTGCTGTGGGCAAACAGCCAGAAGAGGCCCGAGACGTAAAGCAGGCAAGACGTTTTCTCGATTCGTTATTGATCCTTACCGCCTACTGTCGATTTGTAGTGTTTGCTGAATCGGTCGTTGACGTATCGCTGCACCAGAGATGTCTTTCCAACCTGACCGTCGCCGATGACCAGGATTTTAAATAGGTAGTCACGTCTTTCCATGATATTATCAGAAATAGGGCGACAATCGTCGGTCAACATTTAACAAATACACATCGCTATACAGTAGTTAACTGTACTCGAGTATAATTTGTTTAGTAATATTAGGATATGGATCTTCAGTATAAAACTTCTCAGTTTCCCACACCATTAAAACGGGCTTGGCTGACAAAGTATGCTCATATTAAAAATACTATTTCACTTTCACTATAAAGATATACTACGCAAGTTTTACTCTCGGTTGAAATAAAACGTTTTTGCTTTTCTTACTAATTAATTGGTCCTGCACTCTGGAATGTCAGTTTCAGACTACGTAGCCTAAGTGGCAGAAATGCTCATCTTCATTGCCTCCCGTCCTCGACCAATGCAGAAGTTATAAACTCTACTTGAGCACTTGCCAAACACTTCGTTTGCTCCAGTCAAGCACGATCATGTGATTTCATGGCCTGTAAGTACCGAAAGGCATTATGGGTCTGGTAGTTCATTAATGGGTGATAATGAATCTAAAATGCATTAATCAGGAAATATCTGAAATGAAATAGCTCATATCCCCAACACACCTGTGTACGATTTTTTTAATTAAAAGGTCTCTCCCAAATTTGTATCCATTATATCAATCTTGTAATTCAATAGTTAAGTGTCCCAGAATCTATAACGAAATATATCAGAAGATATATGTAAACGCCCGTTCTCTTTAAAATATGTGTATTTTGCATTTTTTCTAAACTGCCACAATAAAGTGACGCTGACCTACTGCAATGAAAACATTGAGCTAAAAAATACAGTACATAGCGGAGTCACGTAGCATGTATACAAAAGTTCCAGTCACCCTTCTTTACCTATAGCTACATTTTAAATGACCACATAAACGCAAATACGTATACTGTATTAAAATAATCCTACAAACTAATGTCAAATTGCAAAACATCCTTTTCCAAGGTGACATCGTTTGTTGTGCGATTACGAAACTGTTACAATGCCACACCTGATGCTACCAGTATGTGTTAAAAAAGGATAAACGACAGTACAGCAAATACTATTTTTATGCTCGACAATCATGATAGTTGGCTATTCATAACTTCCATGCTGAAAGCGCGGCGTGTAAGCATACTAGAACGGTAGGCTGTCTTCGAGAAAGCCTGCTGGACAGACAGAAATATCTTGTTATTAAGATAAATATTTTATCTTTATATTCTAAAACAAACAATTTTTAATCACAATTGTCAGCTCTACATGTAGATAACTCGACTGTGTCATTTACTTTTATTGTCATTTTTTTAACATTCCGGCAACGTTAACACGACCCACGAACTAGGGGTCCTTCGTCGCAACTAGGCGCCAGTCGCTCTGGTTTGTTTTGATGGCTGAAGGATAACTGGAGACTGAACGGTGCGGTCTTTATTGTTTGTATTTGTTAATTTTTGAAGCTGTCGTATTTGGGATTGGAATCGAGGACTTCACGATGAATCTAGAACTGCTTGGTATGTCTATATATATTTAATTTTCTTTTTTTTTATTCTCTCGGTTCCGATGTTGTAGTAGAGTACTGGAAAGCTCCACAGCAGAAACGATGTCTTTACATCTGGGTGAGGAATTAACCTCTGCTTTTTCACATGTAGTACACGCCCCTTCCCACTGTAGCTTCTGGAAAAAACATTGCCAGAATCGAAAAAAGATTAACGTCAAATGGTAAAGAGGTATTTTTTTAAACGTTGGAAATAGTTGTTGTTGAGAACTAAACTTGGTCTCACAGTGGAACTAGTATCTGATTTGAACGGATTTGATAGAAACTGATATAGGTATATGTTTAGAATATACTAGTCTTTAACACAACATTCTATTAAGCAATTATATTTGCTTATTTTTTAGTTTAATTGTCTTGAATATGTCGTGCACAAGTATGAGAAGTGATGCTTGATCAGACGGCAAATGTCAGATTCAGAGCTGTTAACATCTTCTTTGTCTTTCTTCAGAGTCCTTTGGGCAGAATTATCCTGAGGTAAGTCAACGGATTTCCTTAGCATTCTAGCGTAGTATTTTTAAAATATTCTCTCCTGCTAAATAACATGGTAAAGCATGAAGTTCAGAAGCATGTTGAACCAAGTCCTAGTAGTTATTTCTTTGTAGAACTGCATTTGTTTATCATGCAGATTTCTAACTATTTTTTATTCAAGCCTCCATTAATATACTTTTATAATATTGTAGCATAGATTTGCTTTGTACAATTCTTTGGCTTTGTGAAATACCTATATGAGAATGTCCTGACTTGGATGAAAGTTGATCAATAATTAAGAAGTTATCTCTGGATATTTTTGTGATTCAGACTGGAACATCATTATCTTTGTCACAGCCTGAAGGCTGAAGGCAATCCTCTTAGGAGGATAGAATGGGACTGGATTGTAAACGTATCCAGACATTGTGAAATAAATGCCACTCATGTTTAAGGTACTTATAGCGCTTGAAGATGCTCAACAGCAGGTAAGAGGAAGCATTAGGTTAACTGTTTGCCCAGTGCTGCATATATGATAATTTCTGTGCTGATTCCCATTTAGGAGGCAGATGGCACTCTGGACTGTATCAGTATGGCGCTCACCTGCACTTTCAACCGCTGGGGCACCCTGCTGGCCGTAGGCTGCAACGATGGCCGAATCGTCATCTGGGATTTCCTCACCAGGGGCATCGCCAAAATTATCAGCGCACATATCCATCCAGTCTGCTCACTGTGGTGAGTGTTCTGAACCCACTGGCAGTGTTGTGTCTGCTAAACCAAACTGCTGCACTGGGAAAATACAAACTTTAAATTTAATTTGAAACTGAATGGAACCTGTTCATTATGAGTGCTTGTAAATGACCCTAGAAGACAGATATCAAAACATGCTGTTTTAGGTAAGGCAGTCTCTTGTAGTGTTTTGCAGCTTGTTTTGGGGTTTGGGGGTAGAAGGTATGCTTGTCATTCACACAGCATGCTTACATGCTTCAGACAGCATCTTGCACTTATTATGAATATATTTTTATGAGGGAGCAATAATCAGACAAATATGACTTAGAAAATTTGCCTTCTTTCATGAAATTTAGGGGTTTCTGTCAGAAATGTGTGCCAAAATGAATATTACAAGCCATTTTTCCATTATCTGTCCTGAAATGTTTATTAAATGTTTAAAATCAGGTGGTAGAACAGTTAAGGAAATGCTGAGCATAAAAAAAGTTGAGAATAGATATTTTTGTAACTTACGTCATTTCATTTTAAAGCAATAGATCCCTGGATAGAGTTTTTTTTTTCCATTCGTTGTCCAGATAATTAAAAGTTTGAAACCTAAGTTGTGATATTTTTTTTTTTGCTCCCCTTTTTTTCCTCAGCTGGAGCCGAGACGGACACAAGCTAGTCAGCGCCTCCACAGACAACATTGTATCCCTGTGGGACGTCCTGACTGGGGATTGCGATCAGAGGTTCCGCTTCCCCTCCCCCATCCTCAAAGTGCAGTTTCATCCCCGCGACCAGTGAGTACAGCCCTTCCTCCTGAAACCTAGCACTGGGGTGACAGCCTGTGTTATTGATCGATGTCACATGTCTTAATAAAGGAGGAGATTCCAGTGATACCACTGCAATAAATTACATAGAAAAAGGCCGCTGCTTACGTTTAACTCTTGATTAGAGTAAAAAATAAGAAACTTAACATATGCATCCATCCATCCATCCATTTTTAAAACTTGGGTGACTGGGGATGCTGAGCCTATTATCCTGGCAAGCAACAGGCGAAAAGCCAGGATACCCCCTGAACGGAATGTCAGTCCATCACAGGGCAGACGCAGACACATACACGCTCACACCAGGGCCAATTTTTCCAGAAGGCAGTTAACCTGCCAGTGTGTGTTGGGACTGTGGGAGGAAACTGGTGTATCTGGAGGAGACCCATGCAAACATGGGAAGAGCATACAAGCTCCACACAGAAAGCGCCCCTGAAACTGAACCCAGGGAAACAGCGCTGTGAGGCAGCAATGAGAACCACTGTGCTACTGAGCCACCCTGCTGGAAAATCAATATTTTTACATCCAAATTAGAGTGGCATTGGATGTGGATGTGAGATATATAAATATTGGTACCACACTTGGCATGTGTATGAGTCTGCCCTATTTATGCACTTTAGGAACAGAGTTTTGGTGTGCCCAATGAAGTCGGCGCCAGTACTTCTTACGCTGTCTGACTCCAAGCATGTGGTGCTTCCGGTGGACGATGACTCAGACCTCAATGTGGTGGCAGCATTCGACCGTCGTGGGGAGTACATCTACACGGGCAATGCCAAGGGAAAGGTCAGAGGGCGCCAGAGCGCTATGTGCAGGGTGGTTAAATGCCTTTTAAAGAAGTGGTAAATTAAACATCCTTCCTTCCTTATGTGAATACATACCGAGATTAAACTGTAGTTGCATGTCTGCATGAAACTACTTTCAGATGTGTTCTACTTTGTACGTTTTCTGTTACTTGGGGTTGGATTTTATGGATGAAATTTCAGTTTTGAAGAAGGCATAGAAATCTGGAAGATAGAAAAACTAACAATACCTGTGGGGGATTTTTAATAGTTGTTTTTTTTTTTAAGTTTTTTAGTTTAAACTAAGGCCCCATTGACCACAAGTGATTGTACATTCTGAGTTGTTTTATGTTCTCTCAGATTCTGGTATTGAAGACAGACACCCAGGATCTAGTGGCTTCTTTTCGAGTGACAACAGGAACCAGCAACACCACAGCAATCAAATCTATCGAGTTCGCTCGCAAGGGCAGGTAAGCGCTAGCAGCGTGTGCTGCTTGATGCACAAAGTCACATGGCCAGTAAATACAAATACAGTATTTTACTTCAGAAACCATTGAGCCTATCCGTGTGTTGGGTTTCTTGCTCAACAGCATCAGTAATTTAAACAAATACAAATTCTGCAGTGTCTCCTGTTGGCAACGTTTTTTTTTTTTCCGTGACTTTCTGTGGAGGTGCCCCTTCCATTCGAGGGCATTTAAAAAAAAAAGATGAGTTTTTAAGTGCTGATCAGAGTTGTTGGTCCTAACAACGCTTGTGTTGCTAACCCCCCTCCACCATCCCTCCCCTCCCAATCCCAGCTGTTTCCTCATTAACACAGCGGACCGGATAATCCGGGTGTACGATGGGAGGGAGATCCTGACGTGTGGCCGTGACGGAGAGCCGGAGCCCATGCAGAAGCTCCAGGACTTGGTCAACAGGTCTGTAGCTTGTCCTTACTGCAAGCAGGGTATCCCCTTGTGTCCCAACACTGTTTCATCAGTGCACAGTGGTGCACAATACTGGTCTGTGAGAGATGCAATCCCCTGAGTTTTATTAGCCTTTTAGACTGCCTTTGCCCTTTGTAACCGTTGTGTTGCTGAAGAATCATGGCGTTGAACTGCCGCCGTCTTGAACTCAGTACTTTGCTCAAGTGGTTGAAGGCGTTTGCTGTATGGTATTTGACAGCAGTTCAGCTGTTCAAGACTCAGTAAAGTCTAGTGTGTGTGCAGAACATCTCTGCATTGATCTCACCCTCCTCTCTGTCTCTGGCAGGACGCCCTGGAAGAAGTGCTGCTTCTCGGGAGACGGGGAGTACATTGTGGCTGGCTCGGCCCGGCAGCACGCCCTCTACATCTGGGAGAAGAGCATCGGCAATCTGGTCAAGATCCTTCATGGCACCCGCGGAGAGCTGTTGCTGGATGTAGCGGTAAGCGTGAAAGGCTTCCCGAGTTTTTTTTCTTCTTTCTCCATCCATCCATTTTCTAACTGCCTCTTCCCGTTAAGGGTTGCAGGGATACCAGAGCCTATCCCAGCAAGCAACAGGCACAAGGCGGGAGACAACCTGGACAGGATGCCAGTCCAACACAGGGCAGATAGACACAAACCAGGGCCAGTTTCCACAGAAGCCAATTAACCTACATTATTTTTTTCATTTCCATTACGTGCTGTTTAGATGTGAATTTAAATTCAGACACGATACAAAATTAGATCAATACCTGCAGTTCCCCTAGAAAAAATGGCGAAGTTTATTTTATTCTTCCTGAAATAAAATGAAAGTGTTATTAAAGGCAATTACTTTAGTAATTCCATAGGTAATGCTACAAAGTAATTTATTTTGTAAAGAACTACTGCTTACAATGGATGGCTTGTTTTTTTTGCACTATGTTATCCGCGGGTATAGCTTGGCAATAGAAATGTGCATCAATTCATGATTTATTAAATCTTTTCCAGAAAGATACAGTGTGCTTCTTATTTGCCAGATCTTTTCTGGAGCGAAGCAGTGTTTAAGACACATGATTAGTACTGCAGTGTCTATGTCAATTATATTCTTTAGACATTGGAAATCATACAAATCACTCCTTTTTTTTCAGTGGCACCCGGTGCGGCCCATAATTGCTTCTATCTCCAGCGGAGTGGTGTCTATCTGGGCCCAGAACCAGGTGGTAAGTGTGCAGTGTCAGTCCTGCTAGTCTGGGCTGAAGAATAATGACCTGGAGTGCTTAAAGTTTTAGCCTAGAGGTGTGTGCAGTGTGCAAGAATTCAGAGCATATGTGAGGGAGGTATTTCAACTTACAAATTAGCTGTGGAAAACTAAAGTAAAACTGCCTTTCTGTAACACTTGGAACAAAATGACAGCTGTTTAGAATTTTTGGAAGAGACCATAAAGCTTGACGGTGAGTTTAAGTGCTGATTCGTTTCCGCTGCTCATCAATTCCAGCTTGGAAAACAGTGTACTGGTGGATTCCAGTGGGCTGCAGTTAGCCAGGCCACAAAGAGGATTTTTAACACCTGTTTTGCTCCTTCTTTTGGCCACTTTAGATTACAGTATGCATGTGCCATGTTTTTCCTGGTCTCTAGGAAAACTGGAGTGCCTTCGCACCTGACTTCAAAGAGCTGGATGAAAATGTGGAGTATGAGGAGAGAGAGTCCGAGTTTGATATTGAGGATGAAGACAAAAGTGAACCTGAACAGACAGGTACTGTACAGACAGAGGGTGGCAGCATGCAGCAGCTTTGTCATCCCACAGAGAGAAATGTAAAGTTTCTGCTAAACCATGAAACAAAAGCTTCAGGTGATGCACAGCAGTGTTCTTGCAGATGCATATCGTATATAAATATGAAGTCACAGATATGACTCCTCAGGATCTGCTGGTCTTGGGTTCAGAAATTACAAACGATAATGCAGGTTGTTATGGTTGAACAGATAGCTGTGTTTAGAATAGTTAGTCACACTTTCAGCCAGGCTAATGGATGTGCTTGTTTTCAATCTTGAGCCGTTGTTTGCATCTAAAGGCTTAATAAATGCACGTGCTTTGATATACTTTGTTGCAGTTCTGTGCGAAGAAAGTTATAAAAAGGGCACATCTTATGAACAGTATGTTCAGTAAAGCTTCATGCAAAGTGCTAAAGTGCTGTTTTTTTTTATTTGCTCATCACACAGGTGCTGATGCAGCAGAGGACGAGGAGGTAGATGTGACCTCTGTGGACCCAATCGTCGCTTTTTGCAGCAGGTGGGGCTCAAATTTCCCGCCTCCAGGTTTCTTTACTCTTGCCCATCAGCAGCACCATAGAAAGAAACAAGGCACGCTATATATAGTGTTCCCACGAACTGGGACTTGTTCTTCAGGCGCACCTGTGCAAGATGTTCTCATGCTGAGCCTATTAAACACAGCTGGTGTTTTAAAAGAGCATTGTCCATATGGATTGAAAAACAGTATCTCCTTCACGTATCGTTGATTAATGCTTTTTGGGGTACCCGCCACAGAAGGGGCTCTGTCAGTTCTATCTTGTCAATCTCTTCCTGTCTCCACCAGTGACGAGGAGCTGGAGGACTATAAGGCCCTGCTGTACCTCCCCATCGCCCCGGAGGTGGAGGACCCAGAGGAGAACCCTTTCGGCCCGCCCCCAGATGCAGCCGGCCAGACCAATGCCTCTGACGAGCCCTCTGCTGGCACAGGCGGGGTTGACAAGAAGCAGCGGCAACCTTCCACTGAAGGGGCTCCCCCGAAGAAGAAGGCCCGGACCACCACCATCGAGCTACAGGGTGTCCCCAGCGATGGTATGCCTCTTGTTCACATCTGTGCCATATTAATCCAAGGACCCTGAGGCCCGGTGGTATAGTGTGATTTTTTCACACAGCATCCGACTCCCTTTTTCTAATCCCTGTGCCTTCTGCATGATCATCTGCATGAGGCCATGCTCATGCACAGGACCATACCCACTGAAAATATGTGTGTTCCAGCTCCCTTTTGTATCTGTCATGTCTGATAATCTTTATTTGGCAGAACTGTGTACAAAAACATATGACCGTAATTCGCATATGTACGCCCTTTTTCTACTATCCCACCTTGAGGTGCACCCATTTACACCCAAGGTGAGGTACACTCGCAGGGTCATGTGAAATACTCAGCGAGTGCCGGCTGTTCCCAGCAGAAGCATCCTCATACAGAGTATAGGGCATATAGTACAGGCCTACTTCTTTTGAACTGCCTTTGCAATTGCAGTGTTAGTAAAATGAGATGCGAAACACCTTCCAAGATATTTATCAGGTGAATGATTTAAAATGGAAGTGAAAGAACTAGGAACTTATGCCATGGAACATGGGAAATAGTGGATAAGCATAAATAACATAAAAGAGCAGCAGTCTTTTATAACTTTTATTACCTGCATTCTTCAGGGAACTATTAGCTAATTTTTTATTTATCCAGAATGATCTGTCAGAAGTCTTACGTGAATATCAGATCATTTAGCAAGCTTTATTCAGTCAGGAACAATCATTTCCATATCGTGCTACAATTTAGAGATTATAGACAATCCTTCAGCGTTCAATTATAGATATCTGTTGCAACATAAAGATCTGCAAATTAAGCACACCTGGAATATAGTCAGCTTGCATCAGTCATGTTTCTTAACAATTTGTTTTGTTGTATGAGTTTGAGAGAGAACCTGTTCTAGTTTATATATACTAAATTCCATTCCAATTGAATGAAAACAGTACATTTGAATCTTTTTTTACATTCAGTATTGCAACCAAACCATGTGACCAATTGACCGAACAAATCTACATCTTGGATATGGCATTGTGCACCAAGTTTCAAAATCTGTACTTTCATTGGTTGTAAAAAACTGTGAGAAACGTGTCTCTTTCTGTATAGGGCAGTGAACACATGGTCACCACGTGACTAAATTATGAGACTCAACAGCTTCATTTTCATATTCATTGTAGATCCCTGAGAGCTCTAAGACAAAAATGAAGTTTCATGAATACCACTCTGCACTATTCGGATATAGTGCAGTATATGTAAATTACCCATTGATACAGTTTTAGTACACCCTGCTTTATGAAAACCAGGTTTAACTTCATTCTGCAAAGTATGTTTGGTATAGAATCCAGTCAAGTGTCTTTTGCCAAATCCATGTTGGTAGCCACTAACCATCTGACTACTTAACTTTCCATGAACACAGCCATGTAGATGTGGCTTAACATGAACAACAAAGTGAAAAGTCTAACCAATGCAACCTACCTGAGTAATTTTTACTTTTCAAACTACCTTACAGCCCTGGAAAATGTTCTTTTCTTTCATCTGGGAGGTTGGATGTTATAGGATTTTAAAAATGGTGGAAAAGTAATCTGAACAGTAACAATGGGGTTTGCCTAACTTCATAGCTTGGCCATCTAACTTTAATATTCCTGGTCATCTAAATGCTATTGTGATTGTATTATGCTCTTGTTAGAATGCAGTTTGGCCTTTCATGTACCACAAGTATTTCTTAGGTCACCTAGGAAGTTGTAGTGGCAACTCAGGTAGCCAGATGGTCCAGTATAACTACATGTAAAATTGGTTGATAGAAATGATGCATTAGTTATTTGTACTTGCATATGGACTTGCAGGTATGCATGTGTTCCCTGTTAATCAGTGCACATCACTTTCTGTGTGCTCCTCAGTATGCACACTCTATGCACATCACAGCATATGTTCACTTAGCCTACATGCATGTATATGCATGTTTAACCCCCCTGTGTATGCATGTGCAAAGGAGTATCATTTTCTTCCTGCCACACATTTAGAGAGCAACAGAGAGTTTTGTTGCAGCCATATGCGCTCTCATTTGTATTTTCAGTGAATTCAAGCTGGGATTGTGGAGAATCAAAGATCATCCACACAAGTCACTTGGGTTTCCGTAGCTTTGCATTTCAGTGGAAAAATTTGTAACTGAAATTAATTATTTACACGGTGGGTGATCATTGTGGGGAAAATGACCCAAATCCTAAGTGATTCATGCATTGGATTTTCAAAGATAAGATTAGATGGGAATCTGAAAAAAACATTTTACGGGGATGCTTAAAGGAAGTATCTTCACAGATAAACTTAAAATGTGAATGATTTGTTTTCGTTTTCTGATTAATTGATTATTACCCATGGCTCCTCCTTGGTGGGTTTTGCTAGTGGTTTTTAAAACAGCCGGCCCATATTTAACAACAGCGTGCAGCTTCAAAGCCAAATCCGCGTGACAGTGATGCAGAATGAGACGTGTAGAAAGATACTGATGAAGGCGCTTGGCTGTGGAACTCTGTAGGTCTGTATTAGTGTCTCTCTCTTGTACCCCACAGAAGTGCACCCGTTGCTGGGCGTAAAGGGGGACGGCAAGTCCAAGAAGAAGACAGCCGGTCGGCCAAAGGGATCAAAAGGTAAAGAGAAAGATTCTCCCTTTAAAGCCAAAATCTACAAGGGCGACAGAGGTTTGCCTTTGGAAGGAGGAGTGAAGGGCAAAGCGCAGGCAGATATGGGACAGCCCACAACAGGTAAGGACCCCTGAGAAACTCTTACCTAGCCGCTTGCCTCTTAGCTGCGCTGTAGAGAGCTGCCACGCCTTTTCACTGGGAACTGGTCCTGCCTCCTAGCTCCTGCGCCCTCTTACCAGTGCGGTGTTGACGCAGCACATGGAAGAACCACAGATTGTGTGTAGGATACTGAAAGCAACTCTTCTGCCTCCTTCTCTTCAGAGCGTTGATCTCGGCAGAGGTCCATTCCGTCTGCAAAATGTATTTGCAGATATTTGTTGCCGGACAGAGTCTTTCAGTATTTTGCATAAACCTGCGCTCCTCAGCTCTTGAGTTGTCAGTAAGAGAGCTGTGCACTGCCTTGCCATTGATCTGGACTCGCTGTGTTCCAAGTGTAATAAATGCCGTGCTCTGAACAGTCACAGTTTCTTAATTCTCAGTTCCTATTCGGAGAAATATATTGCATTTAGGACACTCAGAAGCTGAGTGATTCTTCTCTCCGTTTGGTAGCATTGTAAAATTACGTCACAGTCGAAAGCTACTAAATTGAATTTGCTCTTCTTCCGAAAGAAATGAGCCATGCATTTTGACTTAGTTACCATCAGGACACTGTAAGGTGATAGAATATTTATTCTTCAATACTCCACCCCAGATTTACATGTAATGCATACAGCCCTGTCCTTCTAAACAACGTGGTAATTTGTGATTTAGACTCACCAGAAAACCCAGCTGCAGTTATTTTGCTTAAAGGAAGCTGTAAGCTGTTTTCATTTTAAAACAGGGCAGTATGACAGATAGTAATTTACAGTTCTGCTTAGAAATAAATCCTGTTCATTTTCTCTTGACACAAGGTAGCCTAATTATTAGATCTACTGGGATCAGTTGTACTGTCCCCCTGGTAGCATATCAATATTCATGCCCAAGGTCTGAGATTTGCTGTAATTTGACATTTTCCAAACCGAGGATCGCAAAGCTGTTGCATTTGCCCCTAATTTTGTTTTTAAATGCACCCTTATAGACACACTCAGACTGCAGTTGGTCAAACCTTTTTTTAATGATCCCCAGTGTTTTTGCAGCTTAGGTTTAGACTCCAGTGGTAGTTGATACCTCCCTCTCCGTGTCACTTCCTGTGGCTGGTCCTGCCTACTTCCTGCTTGCTCCTTGCCCTTCCTGCTCTGTTCCTGCCATGCTTTACCCAGCTGTTTGCACCGTCGAAGGTTTGGAGTCTGGATTTCAGTGTCTTGTGTATCTGTCCAACGGGTACTTTGCAAGGTCTATATATTCATTACAAGCTTCGTTAATCATACATTAATTTGTCTACTGTATGAAATGCATAGCTGGCCGTGTTAAAATACAGTATCTGGCAGCCAGCAGGGTTGTATTTTAAGTTTAAATGTAGGCAAAGAATTGCAGGTGGTTCACAAGAGAATAATTGTAAATGTAATGTATATACAGACCTTAAAAAGTAGCTCTGTGAGACATTTTTCACCACATTGTATTGGTCTGGATCTTAAAACGTCGGTATGGACAGAGGCATGCCTAGTCCACCAGATGGTGACATAGTGCAACACTAAACTCCTTGAAAAAAGAAACTGCAGGCTAAATTCCAGATCCCTGCTAAATTCCAGATCCCTGCCACATTAAAATGAGAACATAAAATGGAAAACATAAAAATTATGTAACATAAAAAATATTTTTTTTTCCATATAAACTAGCGTAGTCTATCTCTGGTTCTGTGGGGGTATTGTCTGTGTAGGTTTTCATTCAATCTGAGCTCTTATGTGACCTAAATTAGCTTGATATCGTTTTAAGTGGCTCCATCTACCACAGTCTGCCATTACCATGTACTACTGAAAAGACCGGAAATAACACCAGCCCTCCAGTTCCGCAGTGTTGTGTGCAACTTATCTAGTTTGCCTCAAAACAAGTGGGCTTCTACTAGTTGTAAAATATAAGCAGTGTGTTTTTAATATTCAATATTAATTAATTAAATACATTCTTTCTCTATGGAAAATAATTCAGGGAATCACTGTGCCAATATAACCAGTTATTAAAGGGAATATCCTGTGTCAACTCCTAGTGTGGCCTGTTAGTTCACAATGTACACTGATACGGATACATAATATCCTAAAACTATAAAGTCATTTGTCAGATGACACTGGCAAACGAGTCATCTTAATTTTCTTTCATTTAAAAAATGAAAACATTTCATACCACTTATTGGGATCAAGAATAAAAAAGGGAATGGACAACATTTGAAAAAAACATTTTACAAGAGGAAAAATGTTCTGGCATTTAACTTGCTTCTTATAAAAAAACATTTTGGTGAATTTTGAGTGCACTGCCAAATTAAACTCAGATTTAAACTGATCTTTTCAACATATTAAACTCAACGGGGGTGTCTTTCTGGAGAAATTCACACGTTCCCCTTGTGTCCGTGTGAGCTACACGTGTCCAGGCTCTTCCCACCTCCCTGAGATGCACGGGGTGGTGCACAGACACTAAGGGAATTCATCATGGGATACCGACAAAAGTTCCTTCGTTCTTTAAAGAACAGCTTCATTTTTGTATTCCTGCAGTATTCCAAGTGCTTTTTCACTTTTGGGCCTTATTTTAGAATGTGCTGACCAGCTTACTGCAGACACTGTTCGCATAGCCTTTTACTGTGTGTTGCTTTCTGCCCCTGCCACTCTCTGTGATTATGTTGCAATCATGTTACAGGGAATTTGGTGCAGCCCCAGTACAAGCAGCACGAAGTGCAGGGATTGGACTGAATTGCCACCCAAAGAGAAACAAGCTCAAGGAGGAATTGATCGGTGTTCTCCGGTCTCTGATTATGCGGACCTGCAATACAAAGACATCTCTCTTGCTCTGGCATGGATGACATTCCTGGCTCCGGGGTCTCTCATTTCATTCCCCCTTCTAGACTCAAATTGGTGATCAGATGGATGCTTGGGAGGAACTGCTGAAACAGAACTCAGGGTCAAACCGCCATGTTTTAGTTCATTGACAGAATCCATCGTGGCTGAGGGTGAGGTTTCCCAGCCCATCGATGGAGGCACTTTTTCACACTCATGCAGCGTGACCTGACCAGCTGACGGCCAAAGGCAGGGGTTTCCAAGTCTGCAGATCATGTTGGCAGTTTTTTTCTTTTCCCCCAAACTCCTCCATTAACAAAAAGGTTTAAATGAGCACAGCTGACTCTCCCTGATAAGGGTGCGTGAACTTCTGTCTAAAAATTGCCCCTTTCCTCTTGGTTTTGAAAACGGAAACCTTTTCATTGTGGATATTTGAAGTCCTTCAAAGAACTTTGTACCATGAAGCCAGAACAGTTTTTATTTTTATTTTTAAGGTCATGGGAACGTTTAATGATTTTTAGCTAGTCCATTTTTTTTGTTTTTTGATATAGATAAAGGTAATGTGTACTGTGTATTTTTCTGTATGTAAATATTTGTTTTTCAGAGAAAATCTTTTACGTGCTGCTTGGATGTTTTTGGATCTATCATGAACCTATGTCTGTAGCAGATGTTAAAGGTTTCAAGTGCAAATTAAAAAAAAATATATAAAAAAACTGGACGTGTTCGTGGAAATTGAGATTTCAAATGAATAAGACAAAGAGCTCATGATTCAATTCCTCATTGTTCATCAGGGTTTTGCTTTGCGTATTAATGCCACTAGGTGGCAAAATAACATCAAGATTCATTTCCTTAAACATGCAGAGTCTGAGATTCTAGAAAGCAATCTGGACATATTATAAATACAGTGAGTAAGATTTGTGGTGCTTTTTTACAAACCTTATACCATTATTTTTTTGTGTTTATCATTCTGCATGTCACATTATAATGTTCAACTCTAGTATAACAATCATTGCAAAAGAAGAAAAAGATCTTTACAACATTAGAAAGGTGACAAACCAGGAGGGTATTCAGCAATACTAATTGATCTGAGGATCTTGCACATGGTTGTACAAGCCTTCTATATTATGACCACACCTCTATTATCTAATGGTTCTCTGACTTCTGTTTTCCTCGCACTGTCATACTTGTTGGAAAGACTAGATCAGCACAGGTGTTCCTTGTGTAGGTGCTCTGACAGACTGAGAAGGCAGTCGTTAGCCATGTCTGATATTTCCTCTCAACTTCCGGTCACACGCTGGCTAGGCTAATTGCATGTGTGCCCTGCAGTGACTAGTGTCCATATGATGTCATGTAATTTTGGGGTAGGCTCTAGGTTTCTGCAGCCCTTACTAGAGGATTGAGAGGATTTCTGAAGCTGGATGGGTGGCTCACTTATAGGATAGTGAGTAGTAAAAGCTGGCAATTGTGGGAAGGTTTACAGTAAATAGCTCAAGTTGTCAAACTGGAGTGAAGGTAAATGATATAAATTTATAAACTTATAAATTTAAGTTTTAACCAAATCTGTACCTCCAAGATTTGGAAATGTGAATGCATGTCCCGGTCAGTGTGGTTGTGTAGCCACAGGCCCAAGGGTGAGCGGCATGGTCTGCCCATGTGTGAGGCATGCCAGAAGACTTTGGAGTTGATTTCCAAACCCTGCTGACTTGCCAAATTAAACACAAACACATTGCATTCCAGTTTTAAAAATAACGTGACCTTCAGGAAAACTATATAAGACAATTCAATTACTGTTGTCTATTCTAAGATATCAGTTAGTAAAAAATTCAGAAACATAGAGAATAACAAACTCTTATTACATATCCGTTCAGCTTAGTCTGCTTTTCAACTTTTAGCCTTGTATCCAATTCAGATGGACTCCTCTGTCTTTACTCTTAACAGGATAGTCTTATGAATACTGTGTACAATGTCTGTCTCGGGGCTTTTCAGCTATTGTTTGCTGGAAAAAGAATGATCTTGCTGCTGCCATGGAATCGGGCGTCCATTGTTACAGAGCTATTGCATTCTAGAATGTCAGACAACAGAAATCACGTTTTCTGTCTTCTGCTCAGTGAGCCTTTTTATGCAGAAGGAGATCAAGGACTTGGCTTGAAGTAGGTAGGGTGCATAACAGGATTTAATATTCAGCATCTCTGTGGAAAAAAGAGCTAAATTATACTGAAGCATTTCCTTTGATGAGGCGCTTTACAGTATCAAATAGAATCTTAAAGTCCCCTGAAAAATAAACAGCTGTGAGGCCTAGCTGAATGTATGAATGTGCTGCAGCATTTTAAAACTGGCAGGTTTTGAGGGTATTTCCTTGTAGCAAAGCCAAACATGTCAAAATCATAGCCTTCCCAAACCGTTCTTTTTTCAATTCTGTCCGGATCTGTCTCGCAGAATTTTTTTTTTGTGGTCTCTTTTTCTATGCTGGGGGGGGGGTTTGTTTTATTGTCTTCTCAAAATATCTGTCAATTTTGCTTATTTTGTTTTTCAATTCCAGAAGGGCATCGTACATTTTTTTTCACGGTCCCTCAAGCACCCAGTCATAAACTCTGCCAGAGATTGGCAATAAAATATTCGAGACTTCGCTTGTCTCTTTCACCTCTGCTGCCTTTGAACCTGTGGGCTCCAGTTAAACAAATGCCCTGCCGTCTGCTGTGTGCTATGCCAGGGATCGGGACGAAACACTGTGGGCCTTCTCTGAGGTTGCCCTGGCTGACAGTGGCCACCTGGTGCCTCCTGTGCTGCCCTGGCCTGGGTGCTGTCACCCTGCCCCCTGTGCTCGAGCAGGAGCTGCAGGCGGTGACGGCGCAGGTGGTGGTGCGCAGCTCTCCCTGCAGCGCCACGTGCGGCCTGGGGTTGCGGACGGAGGAACTGTGCCTGCTGGGAGGTGGTGGAGCGCACGAGAGCTGTGAGGAGAGGAAGGCGGAGTGCCTGGTGTCCTGGGACTGTGGCCTGAGCACCTTCACAGTGACCGCGGGGGACGCCCAGGAGCTGGACTGCCTCGGCGAGGTGATGGAGACCATGGGGAGGTTCAGGTTCGTCTTCTCCTGGAGGTATGCCCGGGGCGTCGTCACCACGGACGACTCGTTCTTCAGGCGCTACGCGGTGCCGCCCTTGGACAGGTTGGTCCTGGATCCCGTGAGGGAGGCCGACGCGGGGACCTACCGCTGTGACGTGAAAGACAGCCGCTACAGGATGCTCAAGAGGGTCTTCTTCGGGGTCAAGGTGCTGCCTGCAAAGGTTGTGCACCTGCAGTACACTGGTGCTCTTTCTCAATGGGATGCCCTGAAAGACAACCAAACTGGGGACGGATTCAACAGCACCTCCATCGCCACCTCTGACAGCCTTGCCTTCTCTCAAGTCGAGAAAATTATCCTGTACAGCCTGTGTATCTCATCAGGAATGGCAGCGACCATGTTTCTGTTACTTTGCTTCGTCTTCCAAGAGAAGAGAAATAATCGTGCAGATCTATAAGGTCCTAAAACCAGAAGCCAGACCTGGTGGAGGTAGTAGGTTGGTGCTGGTCATGCTCTGCTGATATTTTCCACACCAAAACCATTTTTCTTTCTCATTAGCCTCCCTTTTGCACAATAAATTGACCAGTTCTATTCACAGATTTAAAAACAGTGGTTAATTTCTGATCGATTGGCAAAATCTGTTTATGAGTGGTGTGGAGTGCTTTTCCTGCTCAATTTGTGTCTGTTTTGAGGGTTTGCCACTCAAGACAATTTCAAATACAGTCTTGAAAGAGAGACAAGTATGTTTTAATGAACACCGAGAATACCCAAGAAGTTAAACAAGGGAGAGACTGCTATAAAGTATATAATGCATGGGGGCTTTTATAGTGGCCACTTGAGATAGTTTGAATATTCACAAGCAGGCTTTCCTACACACTAATGATGAACATAATGATTGCTTTCATAAGAAGCTGAACAACCTGAGGAGATAAGGAGCACTCTGTGAAACGGAACTGGCACAGCCCATGGTTCTCCACAAAGCCAGGGTAATTAATAATAGCATCCTTTCTCCACATAAGTTTCTTCTTAAGAACACAAGAAAGCTTGCAGATGAGAAGCCGTTCAACTTTTCTTTCTTGTTTGGTTTCCTGGACTAATAGGCTTAATGTTGTAAGACCTCTTTTTGTTTGTCTAAGGATTACATGAAAGCAGTTTTAAACCACATACAGTAGCTCTGGAGCTGGTTTCAGACTCCCACAAACCACTGTGTAAAGACATGTCACCTTTCTTCTGCCTCACATGGCCCTACGCTGAATTTTTACTTGTGTTCCCAGGCCCTTGTGTTATGCTGATCTTGAAGAAATCCTCCAAGGTGGCTAGGTCAATCCCTTCAGGATTGAAAGGACCTGTGATGATGAAACTTCTTTGTGGAGGATTTAGTGTTTTCCCCCCCTACAAGACAACTTAACAAGGCTGTTTTGTAAGCGTCTGTGGAACTGAATTACAGGGTGATGAGCAGTACAAATCCCTTGGTCTGCCTTTCATTAGATGACAAAAACCTCTCGTACATCTCGAGCTCTGAGGTGATGTTTGGCTAAGGCTGGCTGTGGCAGGGCTTATCTTCACTCAGGTATGATACCAGGAGGTCAAACGAGGATTTTCAATCTTGGGTTTCCCAGGGACTGTCCTTATTTTAACTGGGCGTCCTTGTTGATGAGATGCTTTCTTTGGAAGTGGAGTCCCCCAGTCAAGGGCTTTAAAAGATTGAAAATCCCTGCTTTAAAACAGCACTCTTCACATCACTCTCTCTTACGTTAAAAGGAGTGCCTACAGCTGTTTGTGGCTCTGCATGCTTAGAACTATGATGGAGGATCTGGCCAGCTGGATTTCTGTCTTCAAGGGCATAATGCAAGCCTTAGTACAGATATCTGATGTTTCAAAACCAAATAGTCCCCACATCCTTGTTTTGATATTGAAATTTGTATCAAGTGGAGTCTCTAGAGATAAAGTGAGGATATGATACAGTATATCAGACTCCAGATTAAGTTCTTGGTAAAAGCGTCTACTGCTCTGGGCCCTGATTGATTTGAAGGGAAACTGTTTTCACTGTTGATTCAGCTGAGATATTAATGATCAACACTATTTTTTAAGTCCCAGACGTGTTCTGTGGTGCACTTTTATGTAAACTTTTTTAAAGGCATTAGAAAGCAGATGACAATCATCAAACTGAATACCACTACCCTGTTGCATCAAAATAGGTTTTTCTAGGACTGTAGAGTGTTCTACAAAAATAAGTAGAGGGACAATGAAATGGACGGTCCCCAAGTTTATTTTATCATTTAAAATCTCATTTTATTACAACTGCTTGTACAATATATACAAAGATGTCTTCAAAAGCATATACCATTAACAGACCATTAGTAAGAGGTGGTTTTATCTACAACATCAGCATGAGAAGTTCTAGACCAGTATTACAGTACATTGCTGGCTTTTACATTAAATACCGCCCTGTAGGATTATAAGTACTTTTCAAGAGTGGGCTATTCTCGAGATGGACTGAGAACAGCCCACTTATGTTATAATCATCCGAGGATTTCAGTGTATCCTTGCTGTTTATGGTGCTTAGATACTGGTAGAATACATGTGCAATTTAGCTAAAAAATGATGGCATTAGGATGTGTGGATATTTATTGGAGCCACTGTGCAGAGTAGCTATATTACAAACTCAGAAAACATTGCATAATTTTCATTAGTTGTGATGTGATAATTGATATATTTTGTGGGGCATACAATGTGATGGATGTACAGTAGGCTATGCAAACTGTGTCTCCAGTTATTAATGCATGTCTGGTTTAGAAATCATTACATGACTATGTATGTGTGTTTATAACACTAAACATGACAGTGGAATTCTGCACTATTACATGCTAACCCAGGTGCAGATATGTTTCAGTTGTCATTTTGTAAGATCTGTACAGTATAGATTGCCTGTGCAGATACACAAACAAGACACACTACTCTAGCGCATTAAAGCTTTCCTGAGATTCTAATCAAATCTTATCAGTGGCTTATTGAGAATTCATATCCTTGCTATTCTGTAAGTCACATTTGATCCTATTTTAACATCACATGCCTGCTGAAAGCCATTGACTCTTCTGAAAAGCATGTTAAATAGTATTTGCAGCATTTCATGTAAAAATAGCAGTATGGGTTTTTAAAAACAGGCTATCTGAGATATGCTTCAAGAATCATAAATAATTGTATATAAAACAGCACTGTTGGAATCGGTCTGTGAATCTCAAATGCTAGTGTACTGTAATAAATGTGCATGAAATCTGTTGGCACTCTTTGATCTTACCCTTTTAAAGCCTCGTTATGCAAATGTTGGTGTTAACATGGTCCAATCTTTTTATGCACACACAATGAAAGTGTACTGAAACCATAGTAAAAGTAGGTTAAATTAGAGGAAACATACGGACAATCCCCAGTAAGGTTGTGTGAAGTTACCATGTTTTGTCATGGCATGGCTTCATAAGGGCTGTGTGCGACTTGAATTGATTCCCTCCATGTCCCTGAGTTACACGGTGGTGACAGAGAGCAGAGGGCTGGGACACATGATCTCACTGGTGCCCACAGCTGTCTTGGTGCCATGGGTCAGCAGCTCCTCAATTGTGGTCCAACTGTCCAGTAACTTCCTGTTGCGGAGCTGTGTCCGCTTCCTGTTGCTAAGCTCCAGCACCACGCTGGACGCCTCCTTCCTCCTGGCCCCCTCCCCGCCCGACCCCCTCGCCAGCCGCCTCTGCCTCTGCTCCCTGGCCGTCAGGAGATGCCTCCTGCGCTCTGTTTTGCTCCAGTAGCGCCCCATCTTCACCTCGCTGCGCATCTCCTCGTCTGTGGTCACCCCGCCTCGCTCATCTGCCAGCCGCGAGGCCCGAGCCTTCAGCAGCTGGTTCCTCAGGACCCGAGGGTTGGGAAGCCCCTTTTTTGACTTAGGTAAGTCCCCCTCCTGGGTGCTGTGAAGGCCAGCTTTCTGGCTACAGCCTCTTGCAGCCTTGGGCCAGGATCCGGCAGCGCAGTCTTGTTGGGTGTGATAGGATGTTTGGCATCGCCCATCCCCACGAGCTGAAGCCCCCTTGCTTGCGAGCTTCTCCGTTTTCTTGCTGCATTCCAGTGGGCCCAGCCTGTCGCTCAAACCACGTCTACAAATGTCCCCCGGAAGTATTCCCCTGTTGTCTTCAGCCGTGCCTCTTGGCCAGGAGCCACTGTGACAGCCCACCTTGCTGTGTTTGATTTTATCATCCTGGCTTGGTTTGTGGGTGCTGTCCTGTGCAGGTTTCCTGTGATGGGGCTGCTCGGGAGGAGTTTTGTACTCCTGCGCAGCAGAGTGGCTTGCTTGCCGTCGTTCTGAGCTCGGGGGCTCCCCCTGCTGGCTGCCTCTCCCTCGCACGTCTGCTAGTGAGTCCTTTTCCTGCATAGCTCTGTTCTGGCTGCAGGGGGAGCCACAGGGGGAGGCCCCTGTTTTAGGGGAAAGCCTGGGGCTGGTGATAGAGCCGTACCTGCTCAGGCGAGGGCTCTCTGCTTTCATGTACTGCACAGAGGACACCCCCATCATGCACCTTCGAGCCACAGTGGTGGGGCTTGCTTCTTGTGGCCACCCACCCCTTGGCTGGCACGTCAGAGCCTCGGGGATGGACTCCAAGTCGTAGCGTGTCCTGAAGCCATCCCTCAGAGGTGCCTGATCCCTCTTGGCCCCGTCGCCAGCGCCCCTGGACGCCATCTTGGCACGGTACAATCGAATCTTCTTTTCCAGCAGCCGCTGGAAGCGGCGGAACTCCCCAGTGCTGACGCTGTAGAAGCCGGAGTCACTGAGCTCGGAGGAGATGAGGGACTCGGAGGAGGGCGACTCCTGGCTGGTCCGCTCCAACGGGGAAGAGCCTGGCTCCTCAGCCCCCTCTTCCGTCTCCAGCCCCGACAGCTCCCCCTGGTGGAAGCTGCCGTCAGTGCAGCCCAGCCCACTGTCCAGCTCGTGCAGGGGAGGGGGGAACCCTGGTCGTTTCTCTCGCACTGCCTCGTCCTCTTCAGTCTGCAACACAGATTGGAGGGAAAAGGTCAAAATTGTGAAAAGTTTCATCTGTGATGTATAATGTTCTCCTAAAATCTTATATCAGGCCAAATACATATTGTTTTTATTTTATACAGACATAATACAGTATAATACATTCTGTGTTTGTCTTAGCTAAAAGCATAAATGTTCTTTTTAAAAAAAACATATCTATAGCATATGTTAATGAAATTCACAGATCTGTGCCCCTCAGCTTTCAGGGCCTGGTGATGAAGCTCAGAAAAACAGTGATTCATCTAATAGGTCAGTTGTGTCCCAAAGGCAGTTTAACTGTTTAGCCTTAGCTTGTTGGAACAGACTTGTAGGAAACTGCATTGTTGTGTAAAGTGATTAATTAGGGCATTCATTAACTACCATCAAGGCTAACACACTACGTGGGTGGGCTGTAAGACTGACACCATGACGCAGATCTACTTATGCCAAGGAGATCTTTTTACCTGGTTCAGGAAGCTGTTTGGATCCTCCATGTTAGTGTTGCAACAGCCAATCAGATAGCCCCTTCCTTTAGGTGCGTACCTGTACAACTCAGGGTCCTGAGAGAGGGAGCAGAAGAAACCACTTGTAGTCAGCCTGGCTAAAGTTTAGAAGAAAAAAACGTGGGTGATTACCCAGTAAATCAATCAATCACGGAAAAACCAATCAATGTGAAGAAGGAGACTGTGGAGTATACAGAATACAGGTCTATACAGAACGTCCTCTCTCTGGACAGAGCTGAGCCTCCACTGTGCGTATGCAGGTAGAACCAACTCAAGAACTAGCTTATCTAAACTGGAAAACAGCAAGGTACAGGGTTAAACTACCAGCACAAGAGTGACGAGATTTGGTGCATTAAAAACTGCGTTGTTGTAGCTATTGCAGAGGTAGACTTAATCATGTACAGCATAATAGCAGAATAATTCAGCCAGCTCCAGGAGGCTAGTGTTTCTCCAACTGGCTTTGAACAAATAGAGCCCTACCAGGTAAGAGCCCTCCCCATCTTTTTTAAACCAGGTAGCGAGAGGGCAGATGCTGTCATCTGAATGTTTGTTTTTAAATATTTTTAATAATACAGTATTTACCTCTACTGAAAATGAAGCGCAAATTTAAATCTATTTTTAAATAGGCTTAGTGCTGGGTTAATCTATTTTTAGTAATATGTATTCCTATGACAGTCTACTGTGATACGTCAGGAGAGTGCATGTTGTGTTGAGGGTGCAGCTCTTTGATACCTGGAAGTGAAGTGTACAAGACTTTAAGTTCCATCAGCTAGTGAAGGGTAGATTGTTTTTGCTGCGGGAGGCAGTGAAAGTGTTTTTCTTCTGTGCAGCGGTTTCTCGTGTTCTCAAAAGGGATTTCATTAAAATCTGCCTTGCAGCCGCCCACTGCACATGTGAGCACAGCTCTGTTGAAAAAAATTCGATTCGCTAGGCTCGGCACACTGTGCAACATGCCAGGCAGCCTGCATGCTGTGTGTGGCTGTGGCAGCAGTCGAAAACTACCACCTGTGTATCAGTTTTAGAAGATTTTCTTAGACGGGAATCAAAGGGTTATTGCAGGGGGCATGAGAAAGGGAGGCCATTTTAGATGATCCTGCCTGTTTGGTTAATCTAAGACTCTGTGTACCCATTTCTTGAGCAATCACAGTCAGCTTCAACTCAGGCTAGTTTGCTCCTGACATTTACTACTCATTGTGCAAAGAAGTGCCCTCTGTTTTCAGTCTCAAATCCATCTCAATCTAATTTCCAAAATGTAAGCTAAAAGCAGAGTAGGGGGGAGGGATTGTTTATGGTCTCATGTCATCTGGAGGGCTAGAGCAAGACCCTGACACACAATCATTCCTGAAAGGTAGTCACTTGTACCTAGGCCAAGATGAAGCCAAGATGAATATTAAAGGTGATTGTCTTTGCCAAAAAAGTGATAGAAACCAACAAAGGCTTTTTTTTCTTTGCATGTTAATGCAGAAATGATCTAGAAGGCACAAATGAGTCGAATAATAATAATAATTGCTTACACTTATATAGTGCTTTTCTGGACACTCCACTCAAAGCGCTTTACAGGTAATGGGGACTCCCCTCCACCACCACCAATGTGCAGCCCCACCTGGATGATGTGACAGCAGCCATAGTGCGCCAGAACGCTCACCACACATCAGCTATCAGTGGGGAGGAGAGCAGAGTGATGAAGCCAATTCATAGATGGAGATTATTAGGAGGCCATGATTGATAAGGGCCAATGGGAAATTTGGCCAGGACGCCGGGGTTACACCCCTACTCTTTTCGAGAAACGTCCTGGGATTTTTAATGACCACAGAGAGTCAGGACCTCTGTTTTACGTCTCATCCGAAGGTCAGCGCCTGTTTACAGTATAGTGTCCCTGTCACTATACTGGAGCATTAGGACCCACACAGACCGCAGGGTGAGCGCCCCCTGCTGGCCCCACTAACACCTCTTCCAGCAGCAGCCTTAGTTTTTCCCAGGAGGTCTCCCATCCAGGTACTGACCAGGCTCACACCTGCTTAGCTTCAGTGGGTTGCCAGTTGTGAGTTGCAGGGTGATATGGCTACTATAATAAGTAGTATAAATAAGTAGACGCCGGAAGCTTACCTTGTATCCCAGGCGGTCCATAGTTTCTACATCATGGGGAATGCTGGGCAGGTACTCATGGGCGTTGTAGTGGTCACGTGGCAGGGTCATGTGATTACAACAGGGCCTGCACAAGAGAGGATATTCCCTGAGTCCAGAATTGAACCCAACACAGTAACAGAAGGCATACTTTATCCTTAGATTGTAGAGCCAGTCTCAATATATCATATTTTGGCCCCTAGGATGTGTAATGCTTTTTATTCTTGCATCAGGTCATCAGGTTGTGCTCCAGCTACAGTGATCAAACTCTGGTATGACACACAGGAGATGCAGTAAGCAGTATTTTGTACGGGGAGGTGCTGTTGTTAATGTACTATGGAAATTGACACCCCAGCCAATTTGCTTTGATGTTGAGTTAATACATGTACAGCACAGTGCCAGGCATGAAACCATCAGTATCTGCAACCTTGTCCTTGTCTATCACACAGGGACTGACGGATATACTTGTTCAGAAAGCTGCTATTTGCACCACAGCTGTCACAGGGCAATGGGAACTGGTAAAATGCCATTTTTGTCTGAAAGGGGCTTTTAATTCTACTTTGGCAAAACACCTGTTGTCTTACCTGTCAATATAAGTGCTCAGCCTGGGTGATGACCCTACGGTGACCCCAAGGCCTCTCAGGGTGTCCCAGGGTCTCTCTGTCTGGGTGCTGCAGTCTGATGTCTGCCTCCTCTGAGGGTGGGTCTTCCAGCCATCTATCTGAAGAGTGATCGGCTCATGGCGGCAGCCAAAGATCCTCAGCGCCTCCTGCTGGTTGGCCTGAGAAAAATCCTGCCCGTTTATCTGAAACATGTCACCGAAATGGGAAAAATTCAAAGTCCTGGCACTTATTCTTAGTTTTACATTATACTATATTATATTAAATCAGATGGTTTGATTTTTTCATTCATAATTGCCATCTCTTTTGCTTTGTCTAACCCTTAGTAAAGCCAAGCTGATTAATTAAACTGATGTGGCCTTCATACCGATGGGGCATTAGAGGATGTTTGTTCTGAACTGTACACTGGCACATATTTTTACACTGAGAGCCCTACAGTGCTTACATCAGGGTTACATCAGGAAGAGTCGTGCTTTGACTGACGTGCCAGTTTCTGCCAGCTGTTTAAACTCTGTGTTCTCCCGGTTACAGCTGTTTGATGTGTGTGGCATGTATCCAAATGAACATCAACACGACAAAAATCGAACTGGGTTTCTACAGCACCGGTTAGTGATAATTTTATCTTTAAATGGCCCTTAGTTAAGTTCAGAACAAGATGCAAAGAATCTCTCCTAGAGAAAATTAAAACCTACGAGTCAGCACTAAGTAGACCAAGAACATCAGTAACCTAAACCTAATCTTTCTCATCCACTGGTTTCATTATTTATGTAAGTCATTGTCTGCAAAACTCATTAATCTTACACCCAAAAAAATCTGCAGTCTTAGGAACAAAAAGAGTCAAACTCATTTAGTCTAAGTTAGTCTAAATTGCCTTTGCTGTTCTGGGATAGTCATGCAGTCAGACCTTGCTGATATGACTGTTTAAACACCTCCTCAGCACAAAAGCACAGCTTCAACGACTCATTGGATAGTAAGGCAGTGCACAAGAGGAGTCAAAATATTGACAGGGTCTGCCAGTGTCCCCTGATTCAACATGTATAACATCACTGGGAGATTTAAAAGGTGTGGGACAAGGCGAAACTGGTAGTATCAGGGGCATTTACTTCTTAGAGGACCACAGGAGGAAAACGGAGGCAGGGCTAACACACAACAGCTGTGGATGTAAGTAAGCAAGGATGTGCAAGACCTTTGACCACTCTACTAATTCAATTTCACCCCATCTCTAAAGCATTAGATAGAACATGTGTGCATGGAGAGGGGATCTGTTCAAACAGGGGAAACAAAACAGATTAACAAATGGTTTAATAAGAAGCAGTAAACAAGCTGCCAATAACCCAAACTTCATTTTGGATCTTTGTAGAGACTTTTTTGAAACAGTAGTGTTCATACTGCCAGGCAAGGTCTCATCAAATACAACCAGAGGTTGTTAGGAACTAGCCTGATAAGATGGCATGTCCCTGCTCAAGGCTCAAGTGAAGATTTTTTTTAAGGTGCAAGTAAAGAGAAAAAAGAGCGAAGATGCAATCATCACTTTCGAGCAATAAAAGGGATGCAGCTTTTATCAATAACATCTTCAGGCAACCCCAGCCACACATGGACCAAGAACTAAATCCCAAAAATGAAGAATGGAAGATATGTTACAACTGCTGCCATCAGTCTAAATAGTCTGCAGGCTGTTTCAGTTTCATGAACATCTCCTATTCACACACTGATTTCCACATGGACCAGATACTCACATACAGTGCATATGACAATCAGATACTGCAAACCCCATGTGGGAACTGACTACTCTTGTGATGTGTTATTTTCAAATTGGTGTATTGATTGATCAATCTAGCTGAATGGTGTAAAGAAAATTGTTTTACACACCCAGGGTGGAAATGAAGTCTTAACTGCACTTGTGAGCGTTCAGTTCCTTTAAGCATGTTTGCTTTCGTGTGCAAAAACAGTCACGACTGTAAGCACCCAAGACACCACACTGCATGTGTTTCTTCTGCTGGAGTGCTCAGAAGAAAAGTCCTGCACAATACATGTCTTTGCCCAGACCCACGCAAACACTGCAGTTCACACACAACTCAGCCACACAATGAGCCACACAGAACCCCAACAGCATGCCCCCCCCCCCAAGTCTCTCCTCCACAGACACATTCCCTGCACACATTGATTTCAGGTTATCACCCCGAAAGCCTCCATTCCCCCCAAGCCAGCCCCATTCACCCCAGTCCAGTACTCACCTCCAAGCCATCACCTAGCCAGAGCCCAGAGAGCCGACAACCCATTGCCCTGCCGAACCCGTGCCAGCCTTTGGTGCCAACTTAGGTGTCCAGTCCAGTGTGGGATATATATTAATACAATGAGAGAGAGAGACAGTCCGGCCCCCAAAAATAAAGGGAGACCGATCTGGGCACTGTGGTGGCACAGGCACTACATGGGCACACTGCAGCAGCACAGTGCCAGTCAGAGCCAGTGCGAAGCTGCTGATCGGTGTGTGGATGTGACAGCTTAGCGCCGCAGCTCAGCCTCAGCTGCCTACTGTGAGTGTACAGCCCGACTCAGGCTCCTCCTCACCCAGCCTCTCTGCTCATGCATAGTAACCTTGCTCCTGTGCTTTCTCTTCTCCCATTGGTGGAGGGGCTACTACTACTCTCCCAATCCTGTGGCCTGCAGAGAGAGAGGGCACTGCCACTCCACAGCTTAGCTCAAGCCTAGTCCTAATAAAAGAATTACGTACTGTACATGACAGGTTTCGGAAGATGGTTTTTTCTCTTTTCTCCCTTTCTCCCCAGCACAGAATGTCTGTATTTCTGCAATGGAGGACAGCTTGGTGAAAAAAAAAAAGTATAAGAGTTAGAGAAGCCTGGTCCTTGTGCACAGTCACTGGAAAACAGTGGCTTTGGGGTATTATTAGTGCACTGCACAGCACTGCTTTTCAAAGCCGAGGCTGCTGCTGTGTGCACTTCAAGAAGGGTGAGAGAGATGTGTTCATCTCTGCAACTGCTTGACTCATTCTGTGTGTGTGTGTTTTTTTATCGTCTTTTGTTCAGTGTGTTTGTTTTTTTTAATCCCTGGCTCCTATCACTGAGTCACAGAGAGCGTGAGGCATTAGTCTTATTCTAAGCATGTTGGCATTGGTCTTTTCACAGCGTTGTTTTTTGTTGTCCTTATTTTTATTCAGTTTGTCCTGGGGTTTTGAGAAGGGTTTGGGGGGGGGGAGTGACAAATGAGGTTAGGGAATTTGGGAATTAGCCTAGTGGTGCTAGAAGATTTTCTGTATTTGCGGCATCTTATTTCACCTCTTTATTTGGTTGTGTGTATCTCTCTGTCCTTCTGTCTGTCCAGATATGAAGAACAACCCTCGATGAAACAGTATTTCTTATAGATAATTCTCCTGCATTAGTTCCAGTGGGTGTTAGAGCATGAGTGCTGCAAGAGCTGCGTGAGTCACTGTCTCTTCAGAACTGTTTTTTCAGAAGGTCAGGGAGCAGCGTGGTCCAGTCCAGCTGAGGTACTAGGCCCTTCAGCCACAGAGGGGAGAAAGGAGGGGTAGGACCAGGTCTCACTGACCACAGAGGGTGAGAAATGAGGGGGAGGAGCAGAACACACTGACCACAGAGGGTGAGGAATGAGGGGCAGGAGCAGAACACACTGATAATAGAGGGTGAGAGATGAGGGGCAGGAGGTCGAGTTCGGGATCATTCAGCAGGCTCGATCAGTGGCCTTAACCGAATCCGCACTGAGGGACTGAATTTTCGAAATCCTGTTCTTGCAAAGAAAGGTTTGTCATTCCACCAGGGTTTCAGTTTCTGCTAGCATTTCGAATGACCCAGTTTCTTTTTGCTTCTTTTCTGCAAGCATTGCTGAACCTTCCCTCAAGCAGCCCCTTTTGTAGTCAAGTAACTTAATAAGGCCTTTTTTTCCGAGTTTAAAGAACCTTTAGCTGTATGTGTTTCTGGAATGGGAAATCTTAATTTTTCAGACTTTAGCTGGTACCAGGTTCTAGATTGGCATTCTCTGGAGCTACAAGTGACCCATCGGTAAGCTGGCCCATATGGTCATCTTATCCATGACAGGTGACCCAGATACCTGCCCGTAAGAACCTATGGCAGCAGGTTCTGCTCCAAGGCTTGCTCCATTCCTCTGTGCTGTGGTGCTGAGTGCCGGGAGTTACCAGGAGCTGAGCTGGAGAGCTGAGCGCCTGTCACCCTCGATCACGTTCTCTTCCTCTGCTCGGCAAATACCCCTGACAGCTGACTTAGCAAAGAGGCTGTATCTCTTTTTTTCTGGATTGTTTGTTTTTGCTGTTCTTTTGCATTTTCTTTTCTCTCTCTCTCACACACACTTTCTTTTCCTGCAGGCTGGATGCCCTTAATTGTCTGACAGGATGGAGAAAAGGAGACGCAGTGACTTAGGTTATTTTAAGGCTACTTACAGGTTACTGACAGGTTCTCTAAATTGATGTTAGCCTGCCACTCTCGACACTGGGTCACCACTGACGTGCCTGCACTATGGAGAGTGAGCCGCTTGTATTTTGAAATATTTCTACAGTATAAATTACGCCCCGGGTCAGGTTCTTGAGCACACTGGTGAGTTTCCCATCCCTCCCAGAAGCATTGCAAGTCCCACAGTGAAGGGCCAGAGTTGGACCTCCAAAGAATGTGTGTGAAAATATGGAAGTTGTTGTCCATGCGTGACTGGACAGAATGCAAATATATCGAACCCTTACATAAGGAGGCAAGATGCCCACTCAGATCAGAACACTTCAGACTTAGCTTGGTCCTCGCAAGTGATCTGTTGGCTATCCCCTCTGGTAAAATCTAGCTCTGGTTCTGCTGACCCCTAACTTTGACTGTAGTTCTGTCTGTAAAGTTACTGATTGCTGTACTGTACTGCCAGCCTCCAATAACGAGCAGGTGGGCGAATAATTAATGACAACTAAAGAGCACGTGAGATGTCAGGCGACAAAGTCCTGGGGACACAGGAGACACTACGAAGTTCAACTGCCATCTGCTATCCAAGGATTGTTCTGAAGACTTGCTCTGAGGAAACAGCCTAGAAAACCTGTTCACATACAGTATGGCCTCCAGAACAGCTTTGCCATTATTGCTGAACCCTGTCATCCACATATTGTCAGATCAGGTCTGAATCATGTTTTTGACCCACTAGGAAGGGGATTCCCCAAGTACACACTTGGCTGAGATTTGCCAACATTGGCTTTTTTGGGCTTTCCAAGTAGAAGTATCCCCTGAGGCTTGCCTGACGCTGTGATGAGATGATGTCTCTGTCTCTCCAGTGGGGCTCACAGCCTGGAAATCAGGGGGGGTTGATGAAAGAGGCCTTTGGAGGCAAAGTCGGCAATGATTTCCCTCATTGTAGCAATAAGAAGGATGATGGTCAAGCCAAGTTGATCAAAAACTGATCATTCCAGATTAGGAGGAGAGAAAAGGCTGAAAAATGCTAATTCCATTAGTTTTGAAAATGCAACCCAGCAGTCCTTCTATTGTTAAATGCTTTTCTCAGAATACAGCTTCCAATTGAGTCAATAAATATTTCAGTAGAAGAGAACAGTTGAGGGAAAAACCCTGATTCCAGGCAGTATTGCTTAGAGAGGTCAGGATACATCTCCTATACATAGAACAAGGATTTCTACTTTTCCAGAACTCAGAGATCCTCTCTCTTCTTTTGAACATCTCTGACTGCATTGAAATTGACCTGTTTTTTTTTTCCTTTTATTTTTAAACAGTAGAGGCCTCCTCCTCATGTTACAAGGGCAAAATGAAACAAGGCATGAATAAAACATAGGAGATTAAAATAGAGAAGGTACAGCAATTTAACCCTTTCCCTCTCTTTGTGCAATAAATGCACTGGACTTTGTGTCCAAAGCAGTATCCTTGTTTGCCCTGACCAGTGATTCATCCCTTGAAAGGATCATATTAAACTCTCTTTTAAATTTGGCTGTAAAAGCCCAGGGCATTTTCATTTTTATGAGCATGGCTTATCTATGAATACTGAGTGCATGGAAGGGTGGCACTGTAAGGGACAGTAAGAGCACAGAATTTCTTACTTGGGGATGGTAACACACAATCAGGCGTAATCAAAGATGGGAAAACACTGTAAAGACATTGCTAGGCAGAGCTCAGCACTGCAAGGGATATGGTTCGAAAGGTTGAGAGAGGGCATACTGCATGTAGGAAAAATACAGAGAAATCCCAAGGTGAACAGGATAAGGCATCCGAGTGGCTGAACACAGCTCATGCTGTGGGCTGCCTGGAGGGATCTTATGGAGGGCCCATCGAGTGAGACGGGTCTGGTGCAGGCAGGAGAGAGGGCAAGTGAGGACGAGGCCTGCTCACGGAGTGCTGCCCCGAGGAACTGCTGCAGGAGAAGGAGAGAGATCAGGGAGCACTCTCTCTCCCACACACACCATCGCTAAGTCTCTCGTAACACACAAACAGCACACTTCTCAATGGCCAGCTATGGTTACTTCTCCTTTTCTGCTTTGTGTTTTGTATACCACATCCAGGAGAACACTGTGCTGGATTTCAAGCCATCAGAGAAGTGGTAGCCGCTAGGGCAAGGTGGAGGAGTTACTCCAGACACTTCCTTATATGTGAGCCAATTAACGAAATGTTGCCAGATGATCAAATTTAGAAAAAAAGTACTTTATGATCCAATGTTAGCTTTTAAAAAAGAAAATAGATGAGGTATTTCACATGACAAGTGGAAATTCTGGGTTGCAAGAAGTTAAAGTTTTCAATAATGGGAAAAGATCAGTCCTACATTCTCAAGGTCGAGGCTGCTCAATCAAGAGTCCCTGACCCAGACTCGGACCCTGACCACCCAGATCCCACCTGCCAGCCTGCCTCACAGCCCTTTGCAAACTTCAGCAGCCTCCCCAAAGTGTGGCATCTGTGGGAGATTCTCGCGAGTGGAGATAGCAAATTATACTTCTATAATGACAGCTAGTCGTTTCTCCGTCTCTTTTGTCCAAATTCATTTCACCGAGAACGTGTCACCTCACAAAACAAAGTCTTTAATGAAGTTCCTCGAAATGACCCACAGTCAAGTGTCAGAGCTGGGGCTGATAATATACCATCGTGTGGTACCACCTGCAACACAAGGACAGATATTTCAAAAAGCAAAGCGTCATTAGCTGCTCACCTTGACGGTAGCCCATGGGGGGATGATGAGGATCATGACGGCTCAGGTTGTTTTCTTCTGTTGTCCCCGGGCTGCGCAGCGTGGGTGAACGGGCCTGAGAAGGACACCAACGAGCAGTGAAGAGCAGCAGCAGCAAAGACTCACACACACAACCAAAGCTAGCGGGCTCTGCTCATCCTTCAGGCTTATATAGACGAGAGGCAGTCCTGCATTTGTTCAAGTGTGTGTGGATGCAGGGAGGGAGGGAGCTTTCTCACCCCGTGAAGGGATCAGGTTATGTTTAAACTTGTCTTCCCGAAACACCCTTACAATGTGCCCCCCCCCCCTCCAAACAGACAAACAGGACCCCCCACTGCTCAAGGCAGATTGAACAGACAGTGTCCCATGCTCTGGCCTATGCCAGGAGTCCTGCGGAGCCCATTAGGAAGAGATTAAAGAAATCTCCTTCTTATGTGGTCCGTCACTCAAGCAACTCTTCATTGTTCAGCCTCCGTTAAAGGATAAAAAGTTTAAAAGGAAGGGAGGGACAGGAAATCTTACAGCAGGGCGGCACCCCCACCCCACTGCCACCATCAGCCCATCAAGTTCCATCAAACCCCCTCCCTCCAGCTGGCTGTGTTTCTAGGAGAAGGGGGCGAGCACCTTTCACAATTCTGCACAATGCTTTTTGACCACAACTTTAAACCACCAAGAAAAAAAAGAATTACAATTCT